GGACGGCGCGGTCGGCGTGCACGGCGGTGCGGCCCAGCTAGAGGGTCACCCCTCAACAGCTGGCGTGCCAGGTAGGGGGCGCGTTCGTGATTTTTGAGGTTCTTTCGAGCGCCGGTGTGGTGAGTGTCGCGTCGCCGCTACGGGGGAAGGCGCAGCATCCTCAGGAGTGTCGCGCCACCCCAGGCAAGGGGCAAGACCCCCCACATCCCCACCAGGTAAGCTTGGCTACCAGGTCTTTGTGGCGAGTCTTCGGAATGTCCGAGGGCCCCCAAAGCTCCAGCCCTGCCTCACCAAGAAGTACGACGATGGCGCCGACCCCTCCGAGTCCCTCCAGATCTGCACGGCGATCATAGAGGCGGCGGAGGGTGGCGACCGGGTCATGACGAACATCTTCCCCATGGCCCTCAGGGGCCAAGCGCAGGGTTGGCCCATGAACCTGTTACCGCCTCGGTTCACTCCTGGGAGGACTCTTGCAGTTTTGAGCTCCAGGTGCCGTCGAAACCCGGGACCCCCTGTGCTGGCTCTTCTGTAGCGGCTGGCTTTGGTCCCGCCGGCTGGCTACGGTGCCCGGCCCAGCTCAACTGATCGTCCTTTCAAGCTTCAAGTATTTTCAATTTTTCAATTCATTAGCTTAAAATCTTATATTTAATTTTCCTCCATTCTATTCTCATGGCCCTGCGACACTCGCGTGTTGCGCATTTGTTTGGCCCCTCGGTGGTAAGAGCCCAACCTCTCTCCCATCTACATGAATGATTCTTCGCTAAGTGTGGGGGCTAAGTCTTCTAGCCTTATCCTAGCCTTAAGTTGAGCTCCGGGTGCCGTCGAAGCCCGGGACCCCCTGTGCTGGCTCTTCCGTAGCGGCTGGCTTTGGACCCGCCGGCTGGCTACGGTGCCCGGCCCGGCTCAACTGTGGACGGGGATTGCTGGCTCTAGAATTTTTCGGCTCTCACACTCGTGCGAAAGTAATCGTCCATGAAGAAGGAAGAGAGATTGGAAGGAGGCCACCGAAAGGAAAGAGCGAACAAAATGTGTAGCGTTGAGGCGCAGGCTCATGGGAGCTTGACCTTGTTTGCTAAGTGGTCGCAGGCTTCCCTAAAGGGTTCGGAACCCATGGTGGGGAGCCCTCTTCGAGCCAAAGGTTTGAAAGGTCGCGACGTGTAAACAAGGATAAACAAAGGTAACAAAGGAGGTGTTACAATACCCGGACCAAAGCAGACCTCTATAGGAAAGCTCAGCGTTGGCCGGGGACTCTTTTTGAGCTTAGCATTTGTAATACTTTCTTTAAGTATATATCTTCTTTATTCGCGCTTATCAGCAAAATTATCATGGCTTATATTTATCTCTCACCCATCTCTTCCTCGCGGTCCCATGATTACCACGTGTCGCATGCTCGTTTGCCCCCCTTGGTAACAAAAAGTTTGTATTCACTTCACCCATTCAAATGATTCTTTGCTAAAATTGTGGGGGCTACGATTCCTAGCTCTATCCTAACCCTGCGTCGAGCTCTAGACGCCGTCGACGCCCGGGGCCCCCTGTGCTGGCTCTCCCGTAGCAGCTGGCTTTGGCCCCGCCGGCTGGCTATGGCACCTAGCTTGGCTTGATCGCGGGTGAGGATTGCTGGCTATGGAAAGTTCAGTCCTCACACTCACGCGAAAATAATCGTTTGAATAGATGAAGTAGAACATGAACAGAGGTTAACAAAAGGCAGGGGCAAGCGAGGTGCGCAGCATGAAGTCGCGGGCCCGAGAGAATCTAACAACGTTTGCTGAATATATACAGAAAATAAGTTCACAACCTAAGGTACGGGACGGTGAGTCGCCCTCAAGTTGGGGCGAAAAAGACGCATGGGCCCTAGTGCCAGCAAAGAATGGAGAAGAGACCAGGCCCACATCGTTAGACTAGGAGAGTGGCGTCAACCCTGGCCACCGGGGGAAGGTTTTGGTCAGGGCTAACGCCGGGGGCTACTGTCAGTGATATGGGCCCGGGGGTATCACATCTAGAGGGATGAGGCCACCCTCAAACCCACGTGGCTCCCTGCGAGGGGGGATCAAGCCCGGGGTGGAGCGGTGGCTACCCCCACCCAGCTAGAGGGAGGAGGCCGCCCTCAAACCCACGTGGCTCTCCCCGAGGGGGGTCGAGCCCAGGGTGTTGGGGCGGCTGCCCCTTCCCAGCTTGGGGTCGGGCCGCCCCCAAACCCACGTGGCTCCCCGCGAGGGGGGATCAAGCCCGGGGTGGAGCGGTGGCTACCCCCTCCCAGCTAGAGGGAGGAGGCCGCCCTCAAACCCACGTGGCTCTCCCCGAGGAGGGTCGAGCCCGGGGGTTGCAGCGGCTGCCCTTCCCAGCTTGGGGTCGGGCTGCCCCCAAACCCACGTGGCTCCCCCCGAGGAGGGTTGAGCCCGGGGTGGCGCGGCGGCTACCCCCTCCTAGCTAGAGGGAGGTGGCCGCCCTCAAACTCACGTGGCTCTCCCCGAGGAGGGTCGAGCCCGGGGTGTTGCGGCGGCTGCCCCCTCCCAGCTTGGGGTTGGGCCGCCCCCAAATCCACGTGGCTCCCCCCGAGGGGGGTCGAGCCCGGGGTGGCGCGGCGGCTGCCCCCTCCAAGCTAGAGGGAGGAGGCCGCCCTCGCTTGGGGTCGAGCTGCCCCGACCCCCTTCACGTATCAGCTCACGTGTACAGGGTTAGGTGGGCGCGCCTAACGCCTACCTAACTGCATTTAAAGCGGTCTATGCAACCGCGCCATGCCGCATTTAATGCAGCGTGCTGCGCATCTGACCGGTCTGTGACCGGTTGAATGACCGATGAGACGGCGACTGTGTACCCCCGCCCTGTCAGTGTGTCAGGCGGCGAGCGGCGTGCTCCGTCCCGTCCCATCCCATCATAATGATGAGGGGCTTCACAGCTTCTTATCCCGGTCAGAGCTGGTCCAACCACTCTGAACTGACCCGGGTTCCCGTTTTCTGGTGTGAACGAGAACCCAAAAGTCCTCATCCATTAAATGGCGAATGACAAGGGCGCCATGCATGATTTGATGGGCCCCGCGCAGCAACCGACGTGCAGATAGCTTCTGGGCTAAGGCAAAAGACATGTAATTAATATAGAGAATATTTTCCCTTCTCCCTAGGTAGCACTCGCAGCACATGTGGTATCCCCTTAGAGTATAAAAGGAGGACCATGCCTAGCGGAGAAGGGGGATCGGACTGAGGATCCCTGAGCCAAAGCTTGTCTAACCCTAGCTTGCATACCAGGGATTCAGGGACTTTCTAAGCACAGAAGAATCATACACACAGGAGTAGGGTATTACGCTTTATAGTGGCTCGAACCTGTATAAACCTCTTTTGTCTCATCGTCTTGGAGGAGCCTCCGAGATCAAGATCACACACAGTTTCGCTCACCAAATCCTTGAATCTCACCCGCTGCCCCCGACCGAACTCTCAAAGGGAGGCCTCACAGCCTCCCGCTAGAGAGGGTCACCTCTCGACAAACGTAAAATGAGATATTTTGTATATATAATAATATGAATGAAATCATTGCGGTGAACATAACCATTCAAAAGTTGGATAAGCAACTTCAAATTATTTGTGCCCATATGTAATAGTCCGTATGTGAAATAATGGTACGCATAACATTAGCAATACTCCAAACTGATCACTTTTTTATTTTTCTTAAGCTGCGTGCAATTGGTCATGAATTAGTTCCTACCATCTTTTCTCCTTTTTATTTTCACAGAATTAGGCATTTTTACTATCTTTTCGTACAATGCTTTTTAGCACCGTACATGGTTTTATATAATTAGGCGACCTAACTCTCTTCATTATCATCTCATGCGTGCGTGATAAGACCAAATTTTCTTGTTCTGTTTGTGTAGGTCATTGCGCTTGTTCCTTGATATTTTAGATCTTAATTAACTTTGTGTATAATAAACATATATAAAAGTTGATTTTGATATGGACTCCAGCATTGCATTACGATCGGGCTAGAAGTTTTTATAAGATGGAAGACGCCTTGCTTTTCTTTTTCTTTCAGTGAGCCAAGTCAGTCGACGTGATTTTTTTTCATTAGTGTCAGAATCGCTCTCTTTTTTTTTCATTAGATTAAGATTTGATCTTGTGATTATAAATTTTGGTCCCATCAATTTAAAGAAAAATCAATGGTCAAATGTTTTTTTTCTTTTTTTTCTTTTTAGTTTATTAGAGTGATGCATGGCGGTTTAGAAACGTTTATAAGAGTATCAAGTTGCAGCTTAAAAAAGTTTGTACAATGTTTTAATAGATTTTTAAGTATATAATAGATATCATTATCTCATATTCCATCATTCGCTCCATAAAAAAAATATTCCATCATTCCATTTCAATGTTTGCCAATTGACTTTATTTTTCTTTTGGTTGAAACGGTATGAGTCCTGTAAACTGTACCCTGATGGCGCCATCTGAACGTGTCATGGCTTAGTCTGCTACGTTTTGTTCCTTGCAACTGTTCTATACCCTTGAGATGGTGACTGCCTTTAGCTAACAAAATGCCCACTTGTGCATACATTCTTTCTTTTTTCCACTCTAGTAATTCATACGCACAGTTCATGCTTTGTTCTGTATCAGCAGTTGATTTTCCCGGGAGAACAGCGTATCAGCGTGTGAGATAAGCATTACTCCCTCTGTTTCTTAGATAATACCGTTAACTTTTAAACATATTTTTATTATTTATTTTATTCATCATTTTTATATAAATATATAAGATGTAAATCATACTTAAAATATTTTGAATGATAGAACACCTCACAATAAAATAAATTATAATTATATATTTTTTAATAATAAGATGAATAGTTAAATGTGTGATAAAAAATCAATGATGTTATTATTAGAAACGGATGTAGTATTATTAGTAGATCCGATTGATTACGTGTGAGGCCAAGTTAATCAATCAAAATCATCCACCAACTGGTGCAGCAGGGTCCAGTCATACAAAGAAACACGGCCATATGTGGGTCATTATGTTTTGACTGCATCAGATCCCGAATTCGTGCCACGTGATCTGCCGTCGTGTATTCGTGTCCACTAGAATATCAGTTCTTCCCGGAAAGATGGCTGGTTTATCGAATCATCGTTGATTACTCGATTGGTTAAGAAAGCGAAGAGCTTTGCCCCAATGCTCAGGGAAGCAGGGACAAACTGAGCTGTGAGAAGTAGGTAGGCTGCCTTTCAGATTTCAGATTCTTTTCCACATCTTCCCCTTTCTCCCCATCGCTTTCCTGCATTTGTACCTGTCGCTGCTGATTCTAGAAATCCAGAATTTATTTGGATGAACTGAGAGGTGTGAAAGACAGAGACAGAGGAGAGGAGGATGGGGTTCTTCTTCTTCGCGTCCCGTGCTGCTGCTCGGTTCTTGGGCGAGGCTAGGATCATCCACCCCGGCGTCTCCACCGCTGCGCTTCTTGTTGCAGCAGCCAGGTGCGGCCATGGCCATCTCTTTTCACTCTGAAATCTTCTAAAATTTTGCCCTTTTTGTGGGTTATCTTTTTGTCCATTTTAGCCCCCCTTTCCCCATCTTTTCGGTTTTGTAGTTACTTTCCTGTTTGATCTACAACTCTGACGCTATAGAACAGTAGACTTTGAGGTTTTGTTCTTTGACACTTGGATAATCAATCATCCATCCACTGTACTGTATAAAAAATAGTTCCCCTTTAACGACTTTATCCATAAGATCGGTCCCAAGATTTCAGATTTCAGAACCTATCCGTCTACTACTTTTTGTATATGCATTTGCTAATTCTGTGATTTGTTTATTGGCTTGGCTCTGCAGTGGTGGAGGCCTTGTGGCGTATGCTGATTCTGCTGGAGAGAATGCATCATCAGAGACATCTCAGGAGGCTCCCAGGAAGAAGAAGGTTGTGGTTCTTGGGACTGGCTGGGCTGGGACGTCCTTCCTCAAAGATCTTGACTGCTCCAAGTATGAAGTGAAAGTCATATCGCCCCGGAATTACTTTGCATTTACACCTTTGCTTCCGAGTGTGACTTGTGGGACTGTAGAGGCACGCAGCATCGTTGAACCGATACGAAAGATGCTTGAGAAGGTATGCCTTGTGTTCATCAATAGAAATTCCGATACGAAAGATGCTTGAGAAGGTATGCCGTGTGTTCATCAATAGAAATTCTTGAGCCATGTTAATTTAGCCATCTATGTTACTTTGGCTGTAGTTGCTGGAGTGCAGAATTGTGGACTGACACATTGATTGAGTGGTTGTGCCCTATTGTTCTTTTGTAGAAAAGGAAAGATGTTGCATTCTATGAAGCTGAGTGTTTCAAGATTGATGCATCAAAGAAAGCTGTCCATTGCCGGTCTGCCGTTGGAACAAATTTTGATGGCAATGGTGATTTTATGGTTGATTATGATTATTTAGTTGTTGCTCTTGGGGCTACAGTAAATACATTCAACACTCCTGGTGTGATGGAGAACTGCTACTTTCTGAAGGTAAAAATCCTGAACGACATTCAGTAGCCTTCCATGTTCTGTTATGTTTCATATTCCAACCCTAGACTCTCTTCCAAGAACTGAGCCTATCTCAGTTGGTAGAATGTGTAGGTGTGCACTCGCGGTTCCCAGGTCTGGATGTTCTTAGGCTTGAATTTGTTGCTTATCATCCTTCACACACACACAAACAAACTTGTTCAGTATATATATGTCATGTTTGTTGCGATGTCCCAATGCAATAGAATGATTAATATTTTCCCTGGAGTAGCCACTCGGCCACCCAATATCATTACATCCTCTGAACCATTTGCTTCTGTTACATAATTTAGCCCCTACTCCTTAGTACAGGATAAGTATTCAGTATGTTGTAATGACATTCATGGAACTACTTACTGTATTCTCGACTTACAGTTTGCATTGTAAAAGTCAGGAAGTAGAGGATGCTCAAAAGATCAGGAGGAATGTGATAGACTGCTTTGAAAAAGCTTCACTTCCTAACATTAGTGAAGAGGAGAAAAGGAAGATTCTTCACTTTGTAATTATTGGTGGTGGGCCTACTGGGGTTGAATTTGCTGCAGAGATGCATGATTTTCTTGTTGAGGATCTGGTGAAGCTATATCCTGCAATTCAAGATTTTGTGAAGATAACAATTATTCAGTCCGGTGAACATATATTGAACATGTAAGGCCCTTGCTACTTTCAAGAAAACGTTTTAGCCTTCTGAAGAAGAAAATTTGTTGTAGTTGTATCTGTTTTCTGCTAAATATTATGACTAGTTTTGGGGCATTGGAGGTTCCTTTTTTAGGCAAGCATTTCAAACATTATGAAAACAACAGTTCCATATTTTTTTAACATTGATACCATCAGGTGTAGCATCAGCAGATGACCTTTTCATCCTTCCTGTGTGATCACTATGTGTTGTTTCAGGTTTGACCAACGGATAGCTACATTTGCTGAAATGAAGTTCCAGAGAGACGGCATTGAGGTGAACACAGGGTTCAGAGTGGTAAAGGTCTCTGATGATTTAATTACAATGAAGAGCAAATCCCTTGGTGAGGTATCAGTACCATATGGAATGGCTGTTTGGTCTGCTGGCATTGGTACTCGTCCCGTCATTATGGACTTCATGCAACAGATCGGTCAGGTTGTTAAATTTAAATAAGGTCGTTTAGTCTGCTGGTATTGAAAGTTGAAACTTGTCCAGTTTGCCTGATCATGTTTTATTTCAAGCATTTAATTGAAGTATCCAAATGTTCTCTCCTTTAACAGACTAATCGGCGTGTCTTGGCAACTAATGAATGGTTAAGAGTTCATGAGTGTGATAATATATATGCAATTGGTGACTGTGCTTCAATAACTCAAAGGAAAATAATGGTATGTCCAAAGCATTCCTTATATATTGTTTGACAGCCAATAGTGATTGACTTACAATTCCATACCTTGTATTGATCATGTTAGCCACATGTTTGCATTAGGAAGTTAGCAAGTATACAATGCCTTGTGAATATATAGATTGGTTGCAAGATAATGTCAAAAGTATTGATTTTTTTTTCTGTAGGCCATACATGCATTTAGGCACTCAAAAGTTTATATTTGGCCTAATAACAAGCACCATGAACATCTGAGTTACCAGCATTTGGGTTTATATTTTATCAATTCGCTGACTTACTTTTCCTATTCTTTCAGGATGACATTTCAACAGTATTTAAAATGGCTGATAAAGACAACTCCGGCACTCTAACACTCAAAGAGATAAATGATGTTCTTGAAGACATTTGTATAAGATACCCACAAGTAGAACTGTATATGAAAAGTATGCACATGCTTGACATTAGGGATTTGATAAAAGATGCCATAGGTGATTCTCACAAGGAGTCGATGGTGGTTAACATAGAGGAGTTCAAAAAAGCTCTGTCTCATGTGGATTCCCAAGTTAAAAGTATTCCAGCAACAGCTCAGGTTGCCTTCATTTCCATATGCAAGTCATGTCCCAATGATATTTTATCACAGATTTGTTGTAATATGTGAAGAAGAAACCTTGCACGTGTGAACATTCTGCATTTCTTGAAACTTTGCCAGGTTGCAGCACAACAAGGACACTATCTTGCTGAATGTTTTAACAAGATGGACCAATGCAAAGAACATCCAGAAGGTCCGTTGCGCATGACAGGAACAGGATCAGGACGACACAATTTCCGCCCATTCCGGTACTTAGCTTTATCGTTATACCTGCATAGTATTGATTTGGGCCTGTAGTCAGCTTGTTTTCATTAGATATGCTCTTGACAGAATTTTTTTGCATGTATGGTGTGCAAAACTGCAAATGTATGCTAATTGAGCCAAATCTTTTTTGTAACATTAGCTCATTTCCCTCTACTTATGCTTGTTTATCTTTCCATGTCCTTGTTTTCAAGGTACAAGCATCTTGGGCAATTTGCACCCTTGGGTGGAGAGCAAGCTGCTGCAGAGCTCCCAGGCGACTGGGTTTCCATGGGCCATAGCACTCAGTGGCTCTGGTACTCTGTATATGCAAGGTAAGAACCTGCTGTCAGCAGCAAGGCCATCCTCTACCATCTGTCTGAACTCTACTATCTGTCTGAACTCTGAAGAAATCAACCATGGCATCTCATTCTACTACTGCTCTCTACTTCATTCACAGCCTTATCTCTTGCATCATGCCTCTGAGCTTACTACAATTCGTTTAGCTGCAATTCTACCCTGAGAGTTTGTTTCTTTCCTCCATGTTTTGTGTAGCAAACAAGTGAGTTGGCGCACACGGATGCTGGTGGTATCCGACTGGACTCGGAGGTTCATATTTGGGAGGGATTCAAGCCGAATTTAGCACTGCCAAATGCTGCATCATTTCTTGTAGAGATAACATTGCTGAATAATTTTGTTGTCTTTGGCTGTGTTTAGTTCGTGTGCCAAAAAAAAATTTTTGAAGTATACGGACACATTTGAAGTATTAAATGTAGACTAATAACAAAACAGATTACAGATTTCGCTTATAAACTGCGAGACGAATCTATTAAGCCTAATTAATTCGTCATTAGCAAATGTTTACTTGAGCACCACATTGTCAAATCAAGACGTAATTAGACTCAAAAGATTCGTCTCGCAATTTACATGCAAACTGTGCAATTGGTTTTTTTCGTCCATATTTAATGCTCCATATATGTATTCAAACATTTGATGTGACGGAAAAGTTGAAAGTTTGAAGAAAAAAGTTTGAATATAAACCATGCCTTTGTAACATACTACTGTTGAATAATAATGTGGTGAACTTTCTTTGGGCAAGGAAAGCTGTTTCCTGTCCCTTTCTTGTCCTGCCAACCGAAGCTGACACTTGATAACACTACAGTATCCTTACATGCCTGCACTCCAGTGTTATTTGCTCCTACTGCCACATGGCTCTCTCTAACTGTGACTGAGAGGGTGAGAGTTTCTGCAATGATCGGTCCTCTTTAGATCCTCCGAGCTATTAAATAGTCCTCTAAAGTTTTGTTATTTAGAGTATTAAACATAGATTACTGATAAAACTCATTCCATAATCTCTAAACTATTTTGCGAGACGAATCTAATAAGGTATAGTAATCCATGATTTGCTACAGTGATGCTATAGTAATCAGCCGCTAATCATGGATTAATATATATCATTAGATTCGTCTCGTAAAATAGCCTAGAGGTTATATAATTAATTTTATCAGTAATCTACATTTAATACTTCTAAATAGGTAAGATTCCGGAGACCAAACAAAGCCAAGTCGCTTCGATAGTCACTGACTGGGTCACTGCAGACTGCATCCGATAGGTGGGTCCCTGGCAGCTACGGTGGGCCCACTTGTCAGCCACAACCTTAATACTATTGCCTTGGATAGGTGAGAAGTGTGAAAATAGTAGCAGTTCAGTAGCTGAGTAGCACCAACTTTGACTGTCAGTAATCAGTAATAACAAAGCTGAAAGCAAGTAGCAGTAATAACAGCGTGTCTGCCTCAAAGGTAGCCATGAAAACCGTAGTACTACATCACATGTTTGGCCGTAGGCCTTGCCTAGCCGTATGCATGGTCCTAGTATACGTAGTAGTATTGTGGTACGCATGCTGTTGCAGTTGCAGATGGAATACGAGTAGAGATGTGGTACTAATGCAGAGGATCAACAGTACCACGCATTAGAATCACTGTGCACCGTCGGATCAAGAGTGAAAGGACCAGATTGTGTGCTACAGTAAATTCGGAACAGTACCAAATAGTGCGCTACAGTGCTTTGAATTCTGTAGCTACAGTAAATCGACACTGTTCATGGCATTAGCTAACTGTTCCCCTCACATGAACAGTGCTCTTCTGCATTACGGCAGACGATCCGGATCCGAGATGTGGTACCCTCTCCTAATGCTGCACTGAGCAAATGGTCCATCCTTGCCTCCCTCATCTGTCGGCTCCATCACATGAACACCACCACCCAGTCACCACTCACCAACCAGGCAACTCTCTTCTCTTCATATAGCTGAATTCCTATTAATTGCAATACCATAATATCATGTTGAATTGTTTATGCTATCCATTATGCAATTCTGGTGTTTATAAGCTTAGTGTTGATTATATAGTTCATTTTAAAAAAATATCACAGTGCATCTTATATGACTTATATTAAAAATAGTAAATTTTACATTGGACCACATTTTGTTATTATTGATGTTTAGCTTTCGACCATCTTTTAATTAAGGTTTTCACTTAAGACTGAATAATTTTATCTTGGTGGTACCTTAGACCACCCTCAATTTTTTTTTCCATCTACATCCAACTTGTCATATGTCAGGAAAAAAAATCTATATCTTTTTTTAGATAATAGAATAGAATATCCCGGCCTTTGCTCAACGAGCTACAGCCAAAAAAAAATCTATATCTAACTGTCAAAGTTTATTGGCGAGTAGGAGCCGACGTATTCGAAATCGTTCGTATGTTTGAGAAGAGAGTAGAGTGGTCTAAAGTGAAACAAAGCAAGATTACTCAATCCAAGATGAAAACATTAATAAAAGGATGGTCTAAACAAAATAATGGTAATAAAAGGTGAAACAAATTAAGTAAAATTTACTAAGAACCATTACATAAAAATCTATGCCAAAAGAAAATTTCGGTCAAAATTGACAGTCTTCTTCTCAACCATATCCATTGCCATATTGGCCGCCCTATGTTGTCCTGCATATTTGTTGGTCCTGCTGCCGATGGAAGATATCAGGACAGTTAAAGAACTAAGCAAAATCTGGATAAACCCCAATCACATAATTGCTTTTTAAGATCATAGTAATAGTCATCCATCCCAAAGAGCAGATCGATAAAACTGATGAATATAGTTCTATTTCTTGTGCAAGATATGAAGGTAATAAAATATACTCCACAGTGGGTGCAGGCCAGAATTCTCAAGATTCTATCTGAACCGATCTGCTATGCTCTCTACTCTGGAGTCTGAACAGATCTTAACCGTTGTTTTCCCATTCCAACGACAATGGTCGTAATAACCATATAAAAGTGTTAGTAGTACCGACCATGTACTATCCTTTTACAACGTTTTCTTCCATGTTTCATTGCAGTTGCCGTACAGTAAAAGTGCAATTACACGTTGGAATGAATGCCTGTCTCCTGACTAATCCATCCCATAATAATATCCCATCACATCTCACAAGCTTAAACTCCAAGGTTTCTTAAGACACCTTACTAGATACGCACACACGCAATCGAGAACACATTTTGCATAGATCGAGTGCCTTTCTCTCGCAGCATGTCCTGGCCCAGATCCTGCACTCACAATCAAAGAAAAAAAAACTAAAAAAAAGTAGAGAGAAACAGAGAGAAAATGCAATAGATGAACTCATTAGCAGCATAGACTGAGCTTAGCTGTTTCTGTACTGTGGCTTTACCTTGAAGTTTCATACGGAGATACGGCTCATGTTAGGTGCCCAACAGCAAGAGGAGCTTCTCTTCCAAATGCCAGGACATGTATGCATGGATACTAACAAGAAAAGAGAAGCGTAAAGCTTTTGCTGTTATTTTAGTCAGGGAAAAAGGAAAGGTACACTTGATGATGTCTCAACAGTTCATGATGAGCACTGCATAATCATCAGGCTCAACTGTAGCTCATGGTCTCATCCCAGGGAGATGATTAGTGTAATACAGGCAACATTCTCATTCTCATTCTCATTCTCATTCTCCAATCCAAAAATATTCTTTTGCACTCACCCAACCCACCCACTGATATAATCCATCATTCCATTCAACTACACACCTAATCGCAGTAAATTGTTACTCCCTCCGTCCCATTTTAAGTACAACCATGAGTTTTCGTATTCAACTTTGATCGTCCGTCTTATTTATTTATTTTTTATGATTAGTATTATTATTATTATTATTATATGATAAATAGTACTTTATATTTGACTTATATTTTTAAAAAAATTAAACAAAACAGACGATCAAAGTTGGGTACGAAAAATCACTTATAATGGGACGGATGGAGTAATTGGGTTTACATAAGAAAACAAGCTGGATTTGTATGCAAATTGCAGGGAATACATGCCTGCAAGATTCCAATGGAAGAAGAAAGCATCAAGTCAGGAGGGGTAACTAGAGGACAGATCAAAGGAGATGGTAGTAACATGCACGCATCACCAACCAGTCTACACTACACGCATCTACCTTCACTCACAGAGTAACAGTGCCATACACACGGGTGCAGTAGTACGTGTACAAAAACAAAACAAAACAAAAACATTTGTCACATAGTTGCATCATCAACTCCATCTTTAATACTTCCCAACTCACCAGCATTGTTATCAGCTGCAACTCTGAACTCCAAGAAGATGCATTGCTGCATTACATAGGTAGGCAGTTTGTGTGTGCATTGCTGTTGCTGCAGAGATGGGAGAAGCTGCAGAGGAAGGAGCAGTGGATGGAAGCTGCCATGGTGAAGCAGCAGCAGAAGCTCTCGAGGTGCTCAGGTCCATGGCAATGGCGTCCTCCTCGCTGACATGCTCCATCCCACAGTTCCCGGCGAAATGGCAGTCTATCAAGGACAAGCTCCGGCAGCTCTGCTCCGGCCTGGATTCCCTGTGCGGCAGCGTCGGCTTCGGCGTCGACGTCGGCGGCGATGAGGAGAGGCATGGCGTGCTGGTGCAGCTTGTGGCGTCGGCTTCGGCGACGGTGAGGAGCATCCAAGCCATGGCGTCGCAGTGCGGCGATGGCACGTACAAGGGTGGGAGGCTCCGGCTGAGGAGTGATTTGGACAACCTGAGCTCCAAGCTGGAGGCGCACATGAAGCAGCTCAGGGAGATGGCTTCCTCCGGGATGCCGTCGCCGTCGCAGGCCATCGTCGCGGTGAGGCCAAGCGCCGACGCCGGCGCCGGCGAGAAGATGTTCTACATGCGGGATCTCTTCTCCAGGGTCAGGATTGGCGGCTCTGTCCAGAGGAGCCAGTCGCTGGCCACCATCGGGGAGCTCCTGGCGGAGGACGAGGTGTGCGTCAAGATCGTCGCCGTCGACATCGACGACGGCGTCGCCTTGCTCACCGGCTTCCTCGAGTCGAGCGACGCGCGCCTCCAGGAGGAGGCCGCCGGCGCCGTCGCCATGGTGGCCAGCTTCGACTCCTACAGAGGGATGCTCGTCAAGGCAGGCGTCATCGCGCCGCTCGTCCAGCTGCTGGACGACGCGGCCGCCACCGCCGCCGTCGCCGCCGGCGGCGGCGCCACCGCGGTCGCCAAGGAGAGGGCGGCGCAGGCGCTGCGCGAGCTGACGGAGAACTCGGACAACGTGTGGGCCGTGTGCGCGCACGGCGGCCTCACCACGCTGCTCCACGCCTGCGGCGACGCCGGCAGCGGCGGCAAGCTGGTGGCCTCGTCGTTCGCCGTGCTGCGCAACCTGAGCCGGGTGGAGGAGGTGAAGGTGTTCATGGCGGAGCAGGGCGTGGTCACCGAGCTGGTGAAGCTGTCCCAGAAGAAGGAGGAGGCGCGCAAGCTCGGCGCCGTCGAGCTCCTCCACGCCATGGCGCTCGACGACGCCGACGTCCGGGAAGAGGCCGTGAGCATGGGCGTGATCCAGTCGCTGCTCCAGCTGATATACCCTGACCTGCCATACTCCTACAAGGCAAGGGAGGTCGCCCTTGCAGCCATCTGGTTCTTCTGCTTCTCCTCCGTGAACTCCATTGATGACCTCATCAGCTCAGATGTTCTTGGCTGGCTTCTCTTCTACCTCAACAATGGCGATTACGCCGTTCTTGAGTGCACACTGAAAATTCTGCGGCATTTGTCCGAGGTTTCTGAGGAGTACAACAGGATGATGGGCAGAGCAGGTTATCTCAGTGCACTGTCAAGCTTGCTTGGAGCAAAATCATGTCGGGTTCGCGAAATGGCAGCTCAAGTGCTCTCTAGCTTGCTGTTGCTTCATCCGAATCGCGTGATTTTCATCCAAGACGGCGACAATTTGAACAGGTTGCTGCAGTTGCTTGATCCAGCTGAGGGAAAATTGGTGGCAAAGGACTTGATCCTTTCTGCCATATTGTCCCTGGCAGATACCAACAGTGGAAGGAAGAAGATCATATCATCAGAGCATTTCAGCAGCCTGAAGGAATTAGCTGATACTGGGGACTTTGATGCAAAGAAGGTTGTTAAGAAGCTAGGAACTAACAGATTCCAAACAATTTTCAGCAAGATATGGAGTGTTTAAGTTATTTTGACTTCTTTTTTTTCCTTCAGTTCCTTTACTGAATACACCCTTGATTTAGCATTAGTTTATTTGATTTGTTGTCTATAGTTTTTGCTTGTCTTGTAATATCTATATTCATAATTATGATTTCTCTATGTTGTACATTTCCACTTCTGTGAAATTCAAGTATCAATATAATGCCTTCAGACTTCTGTCATGATCAAAACCAAGGGACTATATACTAGGGTTTACATTATCGTCAATAACCGCGGTTACCGGCCTTACCGTGGGGGTACGGTAATAGAAAAACCACGGTAACCTCCTCAAATTCAAATAATTTTTTTAAAAAATGAATTTTTGATAATTTTTGCACAGTTTTGTACGGTTTTTCACGGTTACCGTGCGGTAACCGTGCTTACCGCCAGGGCTGTGGCGCGGTAACCCCGGCCCCAGCGGTTTGGGAAACCCTGCTATATACTGCTACTCTTCTGCAGTTTCGTTTCTGAATATAGATTAGCAACACCGATTTTTACTGGCCAACATTTAGCAAGGCAGGTTCATCAAACTGTTTGGCTTCTGATGAAAGAGCAATCTCGATTCTCATCTCATCAGTCTCAATTTGCAGGGACACCCAAAGAGTATCACTTTTATTCCTTTGTGAAGCAAGGACACCAAAAGTACTTGAAAACAGAAAATACTTATTTTCCATACCATGTATTCTGAGCCGTCAACTAGACAACTAGACAACTCCAGCAAATATCCTGTACTACATTGTAGATAGGCCAAATACAGCTTCGGCATCTGACCATTTGTTAAGACTAGCAGGACTGCAGGACCAAGTGTGTGTTAACCTGTTAGGAAGTAGCCAAACTAACAGATTAACCCATTCTTATTACTTTACTGGTAGGAGAAAAAAACAGAGAGATAGAACAGGCAACTGACAAGTAAACACAGGCACACAGCCATACTGAAGGTCTGAAGCCAAACATGAGGAGTAACATTTATAACACTGATATCTCTTTCATACTAGCAAACAATGATCAGCATTTAGTGAGACAAAGAACAGGTTGTCCTATCCACCAATTTGCTTGTTTCCTTCTCCTATCTTTCGATACAGGCGTTCATCCCGTGATACTTTTAAGATTAGCACGTGAATCTCCAGCAACGACTGATCCAGGCTTCTGTTTGTGGGCCAAAATTCACCAGATTGGCTTGAATTTTGAGTCTGTAAATTTACTCACAATCTGACAACCAATCTGATTTGTGATAGACTGATAGTTTACATGCCCCAAGACTGAAAATGCAGTGGTTTGGACTCATTGTCCCATATTAGCATGCTTATTTATGCATTTTATCACCCTTATCATCCCTGGGCAGCTAAATTTTGAACTTACTATACTGGAGCCAAACAAATTTATGAGGAAAAAATAGAGGTGTCAGTTTGTCACTGGATAGTTGTTTCTTGCTGTCCCAACACACAAGGAAGCAGCTAAAGACAAAATGTAGGGAAATCAGTAAGCCACTTATTGACTTAACCACACCATGAATCCTGTACTTACTCGAAGTCTCAAACCAAAGAGCACACTTACAATTCCAAAACAAGAAACCATAGAATGGACTCATCACTACTACTATCTCTTTTCACACATTGACTAGCATAGGAAGGCCTTGACAAAAGAAACAAAAAAAAAAGAAAGAAAGAGGAACCAGACCATGAGATATGAATGTAACAGTAGCCGGACCATTTATGCAACACGCCCCTGCAAAAAGAAAAGCCTCACTCGAATGCTAGCTCAAGATAAGCAGGCACCTTGAACACTCAAGAAGAAGACGGAGCTGAGCTGATGGAAGGAACGGATCAAACCATGGTGGTTCATCTCAAGCTTCTGCGACCGCCTCGGGTGCTTCGACGTCGAGCGCCCGCCCGTCCTCGGCTGCAGCCGTGAAGAACGAGCGCTTCCCGACCAATTCGGCAACCCGCTTGGCGCATCCGGAATCGCGAGGGCTCTCGTCAGGAGGCGGCATGGTCCTGATCTTTGGGAGCATTTCAGCAACCTTGGATATCGTTTGAGGAGAGAGTGGATCATTGGAAGGCTCGATGACCTTCGCTCTGATTTCCTCATTCTGGTTCGCATCCCCTGATGATCCTGGGAGAGACTGCTTGCGTCGCCTCTCCTGTGCTCCACTGCTTCCAAGGGAAGCGCCAGGAGTGAGGCTGTAGCGGCTCGGGATGACCCTCATCTTGGAGCTCCCCGCCATCCTCTTGGCAGTGGCGGCGGCGGCGGCGCTGCCGCTCTGACTTGACGACGCACCTTTGGGCTTGAGCTCATCCACCACCTTGTTGCCTCCCCTTGTGTCAGTAGCCTTGCCATTGGATTGCCTCCTGGGCCTGGGGCTCGGGCTCCTCGCCTTCGCTCGACTTGCTGCTGTTCCTTGCCTCGAGTCCAGTGTCTGCCTTGTATTGCTCGACGGCCATGGCTTGGCGGGGACGGCGAATTGCTTGGAGGGTCGGGTTTCTTCTCGAATGGCGTTGAGCTTGGTGGTGAACGGCTTGGCTCGCGCCGCCGCTGGTGCCTTGCTGCCGACGCCGTGGTGGATCTCCAACGGCCCGAGGCTGACGCCCCTGCGACGCTGCACCGGAGGCTCCTTGATTGGCTTCAGGATCCGCGCCGTGCCAGCGCGTTGCTGTTGCTGATGCTGCGCCGCCGCGGGCACCCTAGGGTTCGCCGCGGCGATCTCCATGGGCCCGAGGCTGAGCCCCCTGCCCCGCGTCGCCGGAGGCTTCTTGGTGCGCAGCGGATGCTTCTCACGATTGACGATGGAGATCACATCCAGGGGCCCGAGGCTGAGGCCCCTCGGCCGGGGCCTCACCTTCGCGACCATCTCCCCCATCGGAGCGTCGTCGCGGTTGGGCTCCGGCTGCTTGGAGACGCGGAGATGGTGGAGCCGGGACGAGAGGCGCAGGATCTCCGCCTCGATGTGGCCGATCTCGGCCTCGACGTCGTAGCCGGCGGCGACATCAACAACCTCGGGGCGGTGATTCTCCTTGTCGCCCTTGCGGACGGCCGCGACGGCGGGGCTTTGGGGGAGCCAAGCCGATCTGGAACACGAGGAGTCGTCGAAGGCGGCGTTGTTCCAGACGTGGACCAGCGGGATGAGCGGGTCCTCCTCCATCGCCTCCGCCGACGAACCCCCTTCGCCTCCTCCTCCTGCAACAACAACGGCGGTGGCCGCAGAGATCAGAGACCAGGCGCAAATCAATCGACGAACAAACAAACAAACAAACAAACAAAATCGAACCGAATCGTCAGCGAGAGCAAATCGACGAGCACGCACCTGGATCGAATCGATCGATTGATCAATCGGTCGGTTGATTCGAGCGGATTCCTTCCCCTTTGCGCGATTAGCGCGGAGCTTGGATCGGATTAGGTGGTGAGAACTTTTGAAATTTGTGGGAAGGGGAGGATGATGCGAGGAGGGGGCGAGAGGAAGAGGGTTTAAGAGCCAGGTCAGATTCGACCGTTGGGACTTGGGGAGCGGAGGGGGAGCGCGCCGCTTATATATTTACAAGTGGATTTTTCTTTCTTAGAAAAAAGGAAAAGGAAAATACATGAGCAGACACTGCGGATGGAGACATGGTGTGTGGTGGGGTTAACAAGACCGAAAGACGTTGTAGGAAGTGCGCATCCACCAAACTCCGCTCCTTGTCTTCTCTCCATCGAACCATCCTGAAATTCATTTTCCTTTTGCCAGTTTTCGTCTCATTTTTCGGGGGACATGTGTGCACACTATACTACTCCTTTCAAAAAAAAAAAACAGTATATGCTTTTTGTGTGTACTACGCTAGTTACTACTACCTCCGCCTCAAAATAAGTGCAGCCGTGGATATTCGTGCCCAACGTTTAACCGTCCGTCTTATTTGAAAATTTTGTGAAAAATTTGAAAATATTTAGTTACACATAAAGTACTATTTATGTTTTATCATCTAATAGCAATAAAAATACTAATCATAAAAAAATTTTAAATAAGACGAACAGTCAAACGTTGAACGTGAATAGTGTAAAACTACACTTATTTTGGGACGGAGGGAGTACCAGTAGAGTATGGTTTCTTTATACTTACGTTTTTAACGTTGTTTAATCGAGGCATCGAGTGTTCCTCCCATACAAATTAGAGCCGTAGATTGCACGAATGCGCAAACCCCACAAACAGAAAACAGAGGGAACAGGAATGTATTGGAGGGCGTTTGCTTTCTGAGTTCAGAAAGTTGCCGCCAAATTACAAACTTGTGTGAGTTTTGAAATTTGAAAGGGGAAAGATCAAACTTATTCATTTGTTCTTCGCACGTCACGTCATATAGGGCCTGTTTGGCACAGGCTGGAGCTTAGACAAACAGTTTCAGCTCCACCAAAATTGGGAGTGGAGCTGGGTAGAGCTCTCTCACAAAATAAACTAGAGTTATGGAGTTGGGTTTAGTCAGCTCCATAACTCCACTCCAGACCCAACTCCTGGAGCTAAATTTAGGAGTTGGAGCTGTACCAAACAGGCCCATAGTCGCTAATGCAAAATGGTACTTTTGCTTGGGCTGATGGACTTGCCAATTTGCCATCAGCCCATCAGCAGCCCATGCGTGGTGGCGGCCTTCGGGGCATGACATGAAAGCCCCTTGTCTTCAACTCAATGGGCCGCGGAAACAAGCCCATTGAGAACATAGTATGACGGAACTCGAGGAAATTAGCAAAAGCCCATAGGCAATTTTATACCCCATCTCCTTATACCCTTTTTATTATTGACTTTGCTTCAGTACGTCACGCATGTACACATAGCATGTGGTCAGGCATACCTGGCCCGTATCTCACGAGTCACAATCCTAAATGAACTTTCTCTTCCTTTCTCTTCTTTATTTGAGAAGATGAGCTAATTTTCTCTGTAATAAACACCTAAACAAAGGAAGAAACACTAACACAAATCGCAATCTGCCAAGCAACGTGATCGTGCAGCTTGTGGAGTAAGCGAACCAAATAATTGAGCAGCTTTGCCAAGTAACAGAAACAAATAAACAAGTATGCCAAGTTGCCAAGCCATAGAGCGGTAGAGCCCCGTCACACAAACGGTTTGGTACGATGCAACCTAGCTTCCCGGGGCACAGAGGAGACACGAGACAGGCCGGATCGCCGTCAGTTGGGCCCCCAGAGCAGCAGGTGCATGATCTTCTCCGTCTTCATGATCTCCGTCTCCGCCGCGTGCCGCCTCCGCACCTCCGCCTCCCACGCTCTCGCTCTCGCCCTCGCCCTCGCCCTCGACATCGTCACCGCCTCCGCCTCCGCCTCCGTCGCCTGCCGGCCGCGCCCGTCCACCGAAGGCTGCCGCTGCTGCTGCTCGCCCTTGGCGGCGTCGCGCTCCCGCAGCAGCGACGCCGCGCGGAACGCGGACTCCCGCTTGCACTCCCGCCCGTTGCACATCACCGCCGCGCCGATGCCCACCACCACGGCACCACCTGATGCTCGCGTGCCGCGCTCCTCGTGTCGATTTCGTGTGCAAAGCTACTAGTAATAGCCAGCTTAGCCAGCTAATTTGCCTTTCTGGCATGTTATATAGGGCGCCACGAAATTTTTGTCGCCCATGCGATGCGGTGACGTGACGTGACTGGGGCTCGGCTCGGCCAACGGGTGGAGCGCGTCGTGACAGGTCGGTCGGTCGCGGCCTCGTGGGGTTGCGGCGTCAAGCGTGCGGTGGGGAGCGCGGCGGCGTGCGCGCCTCGACTCGACAAGTCGACAGGGCGGGGGGGAAACGGTGGACGGGAGCGACCACGGATTTGGGCCGAGCCGTTAGGCACACGACGGGGGCCGTCGTCGTACGGCGCGAACCCAGAGAAAACGGCCGTTCCAAACCGGTGGGTATGTGCGGCTCGCGCGGCGCGGGATGGGGGTGTGCACCGCACCTGGTGCTCTGTTCCCTTTCTCCTCTCCGCGTCGGTGCAACCAACAACTCGCGAATCGGCCAGCGATATGTTCGGTTTTTATTTTCTTCGCTCTGTGACTCTGTCTCTGTCTCTTCCATTTCTTTTCGTTTCTATTTTACGAGGAGGACATGTTCGAGTTGTACGCTGCGGCGCCGGCGCACCATGCTGCCCACTACGCTCTTTTTTTCTCTCGTTAAGATAGTACTTATTTTATCCCTATTTTTATTAGCACGTTTTTAAACTACTAAACGGTGCGGTGCGTTCTGTACGAAAACTTTCTATATACAAGTTTTTTTTAAAAAAAATATCAAACGTATACATTTGTTAAGTTTGCAATAGTTAAAATTTAATTAATTATATGCTAATAGTTTTCTTATTTTACGTGCGTCAACTTAATCTTTATTTTCATCACTTTTTAGAGCAAGTACAATGAGAGACTATAAGCCCGCTATAAACATATTTCGAGGAGATGAAATAGAAGAGAAAAGAACAGAGGGCTACAGATTTGTAGCCAACTGAAACACGGACTCCCAAATACATGTGTGCATGACAAGTGTGAAAAGATAAATTGACTATTAAGTTAACTATAGATAATTTAAAGCCAGCGGTTGGCTATACTATTAAACTTGCTCTTAAACACCCCAGCTGCGAACCCACGCGCAGCCTCTGGATACTCCCGAGGATCACCGCCGGCGCATATTCGTGGCGCCGTTTTTATTTTAGTGCGATTGAAATGGAGTACAACAAGTGTGTTTAGTACTTGTTGATTGAGTTGATTCCGTCGCATTTGGCGCGTGCCCATTTGCTTAGTACTAAAGCCCAGTCTGTACGTAGAAGACTAAGGCTTAAGGCTCTGTTCTTTTGGTTGAGTTGGGAACCCATCCCTCCGGTACGGAAAACGAAACAGTCCATTAGCACGTGATTAATTAATTATTTGCTAATTTTTTTTCAAAAATGGATCAATATAATTTTTTTAAGCAACTTTCGTATATAAACTTTTTGCAAAAAATACACCGTTTAGCAGTTTGAAAAGCGTGCGCGTGAAAAATGAGACGGGGGAGTTGGGAACTCCAGGAAACGAACAGAGCCTAAAGGCAAACGGAATCCACACAAAAGAGAGAATTTCAACTGTTATAAATAGCAGCCGTGATGTGGAGAGTACGCTGATTGTTGGATACAGCGTGCAGCTCTTACGGCGGCAGCCGGCAGAGCGTGAAGAATCTAGAGGATGTTGAACATGGTAACATAAGACAAGTATCTTCTGCAAGCCTTTGTGATGTTTCATGTGAACTACCACTCAACTTCAACATATCTTTCTTTAGTGAAGAGCAAAAGAACCTTATTAATTTTTCTTTAACAGAGAGGAGCGGTAGTAGAGTACTGATACATGACTTCATGTGTTTGTCACTTAATTAAAAGTTCCCAAACCGTTTGATTTGTGTTAAATCTTATAAAATCCACAATCTCATTAGGGGTTATATTTCACCAACAAACGTGATTTCAAACCATGTCTGACAATTACGCACGTGTGATTACACTTTCAATAGAAAAGTACTTCATCCATTCCATTTTAAGTGTAGTTGTACGTTTCTATGTCTAATATTTCTGTCCATTTTATTTGAAAATTTTATTAAAAAATAAAAATAAAGTCATGTCTAAACTATTATTCATGTTTTATAATCTAATAACAATAAAAAAATAATTACAAAAAAAAATTAAATAAGACAGATGGTCCCACAACTATGATATGGGACGGAGAGAGCAGTGATGTTTATAAAAACAATGAGAGAGGGGAAAAGAAATGTTTATCAATTTACGAGTGCTCAAAAGTTAATCACTAATTTGACTACACACTTTCAGAAAAGATCGTCTGTGACTTTGTTCAGTGACACCAGTCGATAGAATATTCTACCGGTGCAACCAAACCCAACTCTCAAGCTACCCTCAACCCTGGTTTTTGGGAATCAGTGTGTAGTTTACTCGTCCCAAACCAGCAACCGGAGCCCCCTGTTTCGCACTCATCGCGTCCTTCCTCGCTGCCACCCCTCCCCACCCGCCGGATCCCCCATATATAAATGCCCCTCACCTCGTCTCCTCGCCATTGCCGCAACTCACAGCTCAGTGTCAACCACCACAACCACAAGCAAGCAAGCCATACACATCAAGAAGGCGTCTGCGTGCGAGGAAATCATCCGGTTTTTCAAGCTAAAAGCGTGAAGATGAGCTCGTCGTCGTTGAGCAAGAAGGCGTCGTCGTTCGTGGTGACGGCGAGCATGAGCGCGGTGGAGGCGCTCAAGGACCAGGCGGGGCTGTGCCGGTGGGACTACGCGCTCCGGTCGCTGTACCAGCGCGCCGCCGCCGCCAAGCAGGTCACCGGCCGCGCCGTCCCGGTGTCGCTGTCGTCGCAGACCGGCGGCGCGGCGGCGTCCTCCTCTCCCGCCGCCGCGTGCGGCAGGGCCGCCAGGTCGAAGAGGTCGGAGGAGGAGAAGATGCAGAAGGCGTATCACCTCGTCTGCTGGGGACCTAATTAAAATCTGTTCTTCAAATTCGTGATTTCGTGTAGTAGTTTTTTCGTTTGCAATTTGTCCACCCCTCATTTTCTGGTGTGTAAATCGAGCCAATACCTGCAGGGATTTTTGTATTTTGATCCGTTTTCATGTACTACTACTTCCCCATCTGATTCTGATGGAGAATTGCTATGTGCAAACTACGGAGTAAAAATCAACAAGATGATGCGATTGTTGCACGGAATTAATTACCTCTTCTCTGTTGGGTGTTCATCATCTGTTGCAACAGAAATAAACAAAAAAAAAGAATCTTTAGTTCTAACCATAACTGAGTTGCTGCATTGTTGTTAGTGCTTGGTAGTAGTGGTTGCATGGCAGAGATGCCAAACGCATGATTGAGTGAAGCGCTGATGATGATCAGATCACCGGCCAAATGCGCATCAACATGGACCGGTTACCGTTGTTCATCAACGCTGCACTCAATGATGCATTTGATTCTCTGTTTCCATACCGACTTGTCCCCTCTGACATGATCTGCATCTCGTTATATAATAGTGTGCGCTCTGGAAAACACTGGATCCAAGCTTGAACAAGTGGTACTGCGTGTACTACTGTACTACAGCTGCTGCAACTTTCGTGTGTTAGATCGAGCTTGTACTACTGCCAAGTGATTAGCATAGGGGTGTGTTTAGTTCACGCTAAAATTAGAAGTTTGGTTGAAATTGGAACGATATGATAGAAAAATTGAAAGTTATATGTGTAGAAAAGTTTTGATGTGATGGAAAAGTTAAAAGTTTTTTTAAAAAAGTTTGAAACTAAACACGATGTAGGTAGAGCGTGTCTTCACGGCCCCAACGAGTTTCACGAATGTACAAGGTGTCGAACCACTGCCCAGCTACAACTAGATTTCACAAAGATCAAACATCAAGTTTGGTAGTACCAAGTATATTGCCCACAACAATATTCAAGATTGTGTAAAAGAAAAGGCATACGTGCACACTATTTCTTTGTACTGCTCACCCAACTAATCATCCTGGTGTGTATCTCAGGAGTAGGAGGGCATTTCAACCTCGTCGTCCATGCGAGTCATGACACACAATTGTCCAGTTAAAAATGCTTAACTGGTCATCAGGATGCGTGGCATGACACACCACAATTGTCCGGTTAAAAATGCTTAACACACAAAGATCTACGCCATGATTTGCCTGCTTGGGTTGGTTGCTGATGCACTAGTACGTTGACCTCATGTTATGATGTCAGCATCACTAGAGGGTGGGCTAGCTTTGAACTGGGCTTAGTCATGGCCCATGGGCTTGTAAACATCCAACGAAGGTCATAAAAACATGCCGACGCCGAACGTCACTAGTCTCTACAACATGCAACTATGCAAGGTTGGAGAGTAATTCACGGAGCGAATATCGAATAACCGCCGAACAAGCGCTTAATTTTAGCATTTCGATTAAAATTCTTGGTTGAATTGCACTATGAACAAAATTACTTCTACTACAAGTCTACAAATCAACAAGTTAAACGTAATTAACCTCTACATGATCGATCTCCCAAATTAAACTAACCTGTAGGGGCGATCAGATCAGAATCAAACAGTTCGTGAGGCGCCATTTGGTCAGTATTTTTTTTTTATCCCCGATCGGCGTCTCGCCGGAGAAACCAGAGCACCTCGTCGGGCGGCGCGGCGCGCCACACCCGCGGCCGCGCCGCCCTGTGGCCGAGCTCGGCGAAGCCGTGCGCCACCTTGTTCCCGCCGCGGCGCACGTGGGACACAGCCATGTCGTCGAGCTGCGGGAGCAGCGCGGCGATCTCCCTGCACAGCCTCAGGTCCTCCTCCGACTGCACGTCGGCGCGGTCGCACACCACGTCGACCACCGCCTTGGAGTCGCCCTCCGCCCAGACGCGCCGCCACCCGTTCCGCACCGCCAGCTCGAGCCCTCGCCGGAGCGCGGCGAGCTCCGCGACGGAGCTCGTCGCCGTGCCGATCCGCTCCGCGTAGCCGAGCAGGAACGCGCCGTCGTGGTCGCGGTACACGCCGCCGATGCTCGCGATCCCGGTCGAGTGCTTCGACGACCCGTCGAAGTTGAGCTTCATCCACCCCTCCTCCGGCTTCCTCCAGATCCTCGCCGACGCCGACGAGTAGGCACGAAGACGCAAGATCCGCCGCCCTCCGCCGCCGACGAGGATGCAACCCAGAACGGGGTTGCGCCGCCGCAGCACACCCAGATCAGCGCGGTGCACGCGCAGCATCACCGATCCCCTCGCAGAAAAAATCGCAATCTGTTCGTGTATTTAGCCCCAAGCGGACCCACCAATAGGGCAAGGTTGGGAAATGGCTAGACCCACCGGCGCCGGCGAATATCCGCCTTCCCCGGACTTGTTCCTCTTGAGCGCCGCCGCGGCGCAGGCAAAGCTCGAGCAGCGCTCAGGCGCGCCATGGCGGCGCCGGCGGCGAAGGAGAGGAGAAGGGTTTGCGTTGCGTGTGTTGCTGTACTTGATAATGGGCTATAGTCCTATGGGCTACATGTGGATCGGCCCATGATGACCCATATTTGTACCCAGGCCCAGGCGTCAATTCATTCATGGGCTTCATTCCAGGCCGTGTTTGTGATCGGTACGCAGCCATCTCTTCCTTGGGGCTTTTAACTATTTGCCATTTTTAGATTTGGCAAATAACTATTTGCCACCCCCTATCTCAATGATATGTGGGTCCACATGTGTCTATGACATGTGAGTTCAGTGGTAAAAAATTAATTACAACATCTAAATGTGGCAAATGGTCAAATGCACTGTTCTGACTGCAGAACATCACAAATCGTGATGAAACATTGAAACACACACATTAATCACTGGTGTTGGTAGTCAGCCCACTACACGGTCCATCCATCCTTGGACAAAAGCCGACGCTGCGGCCCACTACACGGCCCCGTCTCCTGCGTACTCAGGTGACTCGGCTACAGCCTACAGAGCAGAGCTGGTTACTCTGCTTCGTAGCAAAAGACGCTTTGCACTTTGCAGCTTGGTGAGCGTTTACGACGTACGACAACGCGTCGCACGAAGGGAAACTACTACCGTGCCGCCGCGCGCATTCCTCTGCCAATTTCTAAAGGCGACGAGGAGGCTGTGTGTTGCAGTCTCCCGGTTAAGTTTCCAGGCCTTTTTCTGTGTCGTGTATAACAGCTAGATCAAGGCTGAGGCAGCCTGCAATTCCAATTCGCCATAGAGAGAGAAAAGGAGGTTTGGCTTTGGATAGCTAATATGCTCTCTAAGTAAGCGATTAACTGATTTGTTTATGAACAAGTGTGGATCGTTTCCTGCGTATCAGATGATCTTGGGGATAAGAACAAGCCAGCAACGCTATTTTCCAAGCATATATAACCCAGATCAATCGACTGGAATCAGATTCCTTCGATCTCAATGCGTATGCATGCGTACGCATTGGAAGGAACCTTTGCTAACTTCGAAGAGAAGAAGCACATCGTAGCATCTCGATCTGCAACTGTGTTTGCAAGCAGACAGAGCAGCTAGCACAGGTTGCGCAAGCAGCAGTTTGCTGCTAATCAGGAGACACCAGACTGAAAATGTTGTGCCCCTTTCACCGGCTCTTAACCCCTGGAGATTCTGCATCTCCAATCCCATATTCATATTCTTCAACAACTTGACACTCCATAACACTAGTTAGTCCAGTATCGCCACTGATTGATCTAGAGCATGGAGAGACCAACCTAGCTGTGAGATGAGACATGCATGCATTGCATGCTCCGTTGCTGACCTAGGCAGCTCGTGATCCGGTACCACACTTAATTAACAAGCTAATTGATTATTTGATTACAGTACTAGCACTTAATTAAATCAGCCATGGCGATGTAACCACGTTGCAGAGAAGAATCCTAGAAGCTAGCAGCAGCTAGTAGAAATGAGCACAGCTGTGCCTCCTCGCAGTGGACAGCTCACCTCAATCTGTAGCACACAAACACTACGATCCCCAACAATCCAATCTACCCAATTTGCAGCAAACAAAACCGTTAAATCTTTTTTCTCAGGGAGCAAGGCTCACGTGTGCATCGACAGATCACAGCGTGAAGCCGTGGAGAAAACACCAAGCCCAGCGTGCAGCTGCTTTGACCGGGCGTACGTGCATCCGATCGATCGATCGATCGATCCGAGCAGATGCCGCTGCGGCTGCGCCCTGTCGCGGGGGCTCCGCGGCGCAACCCGCGGGCGCTGCCGCCACCGGCAAGGGGACATCGTGCCGAGAATCTCAGGCGCAGGGGAGAGGCAGCACGGCAGCAGCCAGTAGGCAGGTTGCAGTTGGGTTTTTTTTTCTGAATTTCTGAACTGGCCGTGGATGGAGGTTGGGGATTCAGAGGGGAGAAAAAACCGAGAAATTGCCAGGCGTGAGGTAGGTGCACAGGCAGCACAGCTCAGTGCCACTGCCAATCATCCGATGAATTGATAAAATATTTATCATTTGAAGGCGTGGCAGATCAGGGCAGTAATGAACGAAACATTACTACAGCTCATGACCTGGCTACAGTTCACGATGGACACCTCATCAGCTAAGAAGCATCTACCAAGAATCTTACTTCCATCCACATCAATCAGTTCGATCAATTCTCACCGGCAAAATTCCTGGAGATATAACTGATGAACCAGTTCAAGTGCAACGCACACAGATACATCATATTAATTCACCGCACCGTGCACTAAACTTCACGACGGATCTCCGCCCGGTTCGTTGCACCTTGCAGACGTCTGATTTTAGTGATTCGATCTCCAAAGTCTCCGTCGGCGCTGGACCAAAAATATCACCGGAGCAGCCACGATATTGCACCAAATCAACACGCTACTAGTGCCCAAAAAAAAAACGGAGTACGAGTTGGCAGTAGCTGTGTCAACCGGGGGAAATTCCGTGAGGTCACGAACGCCGCCGATGTTGGACAGGCGAGCGAGACGGCGACGGCACGGTGAATTCAAGAGGACAGTACGGGTACAGTGGCATATGGTGTACTAGTCTGTCTTGAAAAAGGGTAAACCCTCGTAACTAGGATTGATTTTTTTTATTTTTTTCTAAGACGAAGGGGTACGTGGTGATACTTGAGAGAGGCGAAGGCAGCAAACCTGGAGATCGAAAACCGTCGCTTTCGAGCCCTTTTCTCGTGCGGATCTCCTTGCCGCTTTTGAAGCTTCCGGCCACATTTTCGGAAGCTCCCGGCCCAGCTTACTGCTGAAAAAAAAAATCATCGCGTCCCCGTCTCATCAGTTCGTTGGTCACGGATGAGGCAAACGCGGATGAGGGGAAAAAAATCGGGATGATTTTGATGGGACTCAAATCAACCTGAGACCGGGTAAAACACACACGCTATACGAGTGTGGCTGTGTGGGTGACGAGACTCGCCAGTAAAATTTGACAATTTGACATCGCCTTCGCCGTGTTGAATTGGGCAATCTCCAGACGGACGGAGGGAGGCAGGCCGGCACGCACGTCGGGGTGGCTCCGTGTGTTTTGACCTCGCCACCACTCGGAGCAGGCAAGGAGGCTGCTAATTCTTGACTAATCATAGTCATCAATCAAGAAGACAAAAATGAATAGAACAAGTATTAGCTGATACAGTAAGTCTTTGGAGGGCGATGACGTCTGCGCCCGTTTGCAAAATTGTTCAAGCGAACTTCAATTCCTTAATCGATCGACTGATTATGTATGAAAATTGCAAGAATTTGGGAGGCTGTTCGTTTCCTTTTCAGAGAGGAAGAGGCAATGTATGGATGCACGGACAGTTTGTGAAACGAAGAAGCTTGCTGATCAATTAATTCAGATTCCAGTTTCCACTTGGAACGAAGAAACAAGCAGAGTGTAGTACATGAGAGTACAAATGCGATTGGAATCCGCGAACCAATGAGCAGTGCCCTTGATGAATCCTGATGCTATGAACAACGAGAAGAAAGAAGAAAGAAAGAAAAAAAGAAGAAGAATCCTATCCATGTCGAACTTTCTAATGAAAGAGGAACTGTGAGGCCTGGGCGACGGCGTCGTCGAGCCACCGGCGAGGCTCGTCCATGAGGTCGGGGCTGAGCCTGACCATGAGGACGCAGAACTCCATCTCGCTGAGGGCGCCGTCGCCGTCGAAGTCGCCCTCGGCGAGCATCCCCCGGAGGTCGTCGTCGGACATCCCGCCGAGGCCGAGCAGCGGCGCGTTGCGGCGGAGGCTGTCGAAGGTGATGAGCCCGGAGGCCGGGTCCATGAGCAGGCGGAACCCGCTTGCGAGCTCCTGCATCAGCCCTTCCTCCCCCAGCCTCTCCGCCATCACCGGCAGGTAGTCCTCGAACCCCTCCTGCATCATCTGCTGCTGCTGTCTCTGCTCCGCCGCCATGAGAATGAGTGAGGTTGACTGATCGATCGATTTGTTGTGTTCTTGTTTGCTTCTTGCGATCTTTGAGAGGAGGAGAAGAGGAGAGGGATGATTTGATGTGGTGGGGAGGAGGCGGGAATAAATAGGGGAGGAGGAGGTGGTGGGCTTCAGAGAAGTTGCGAGAGAGGACGGTGGATGTGGGGGGGTCTCACGTGTGGGTGCGTGGTGGATTGTTTGGATTGGATTCCTGGACGCGCGGGGACAGGTTGGACGCGCGCGCGTAGGGGGGAGGATGGGATGAGTTGGGCGTGGGCTGGAGGGAGGAAAACCGCGGCTTCCTGCGCGCTTCGGCTTGGACGTCGCGTCGGGTCGGGTCGGGTTGGGTCGGGTCGGCGCGAGCGCGTGGCTGCGGCCGCGTGGGTGTGCTGTGGGTGCGTGTGGCTGGGCAGGTTTCGGGTCGTAGCAGCGCCGACGCGGTGACGTGGTCGGGGCGGCGGGTGGATGGTGCGTGTCACGTCACGCTTCGGGGTGGTGGACAGACGGACGGACGGTGTCGGAGGAATCGTGGGACCATGCCGATACGAGATCAGGGATCATATTTCTTCGCCCACGTATAAATCACCAGACAAAATTTTTCATCATATCACATTGAGATATCACATTGAATGTTTGACACGTGTATAACGTATTAAAAATAAAAAAATAACTAATTATACAGATTGCGTGTAAATTATGTGACGAGTCTTTTAAGCCTAATTGCTCCTTGATCTGATAATGTTGTGCTACAGTAAATATTTGCTAATAATAAATTAATTAAGCTTAATAAATTCGTCTCGCAGTTTACAAGCGGAATCTATAATTTGTGTTATTATTAGTCTACGTTTAATACTTCAATTGTGTGTCCGTATATCCGATATAACACACCAAAACTTTACGCCCCTATATCTAAACACAGTCGAGAAAAATGCTATAGGACGGAATCTTGTTCGAACAGAATGATACCTCTGAGCTATTGTTATCTGATACCTGATAGATATCGACTAATACCCCGTTCGGATGGAATAATATCTTTGAGGTATCGCCTGATACCTGGTAGTGGTAGGTATCGGCTGATACCCAGGTATCAGGTGATACCTCTAAGATATTATCCGGATCAAACGGGATACCGTCTAGTAGCATTCCCCTATTTCTAAACATAACACTAACATTTCATGCTTACGACACACGCATACTCACATCTATGAACATATATGCACACCTTATCTTTATGAATATTTTTGAAAGATTAAGTCGGCATATATTGAGATTGACGAAGTCACTACAGATATCTCGCTGTTGATGAGTACATAACCTATCACTGAAAGAAGCTATGAATGTGAGCATTGTGTCGTAGTATTTTTGATTGAATGGCTCCGATCAAACATGATTTCTACGAAATTCATCACGAACTCAAAAACTTTGATTTGGTCAAGACTCAGGAGAGTGATTTGAGTTTATCTCGTTGTGAAATTCAGGGGTTCCTGACGTTGGACCTCCTCTGCTGCGTCGACTCGACTTGCTTAGGTCTGATTTAGGGTCACGATTGAGAAGTTTCGTGTCCCGTTTTTTGGTCGCCCATGTTGGGCACGTTTAGCCGTAACAGGACGAAGTGTCACCCATCCTTTACCCAAAGTTTCCATGGAAGCTTCGGTCAGAAACCCCAAAAAAATTTTGACACCAAGGAAGGATCCATACTCCACATCGCTTTCTCGAGTCCAAGTCGCGAGTAGAGCAGGGCCAGAGGCTGTTCCTACTTGGGGATCTCGTACGGTTCTCTTCCTTTCCACAGATTGCTTTTGCTTAGGACGCCTTTTCTTGGGTTTCTTCCTCTTTGTTTGCTAAGGCCCTGTTTTCGGGCGGTGAAAAGTTTTATTGTGTCACATCGCATATTTGAAGTATTAAACATAGACTAATAACAAAAAAAATTATAGATTCCGTCAGTAAACTACGAGACAAATTTATTAAGCCTAATTAATTTGCCATTAGCAAATATTTATAGCACCACGTTATCAAATCATGGAGTAATTAGGTTTAAAAGATTCGTCTCATAATTTACACGCAATCTGTGTAATTAATTTTTTTATCTATGTTTAATACTTTATGTATGTATCAAACATTCGATAAACATTGGATAAGATACGGTGAAACTTTTTGCGTGGGCAGAGTAGGACTAGTATTTTACTCGTACCAGCAGCCGGGCCTATCTCACTTCGTTGTCTGCCTTTCACATCTCGAATTCTCGACTCCAATCTCCATATTTTCCATGTGCTTTTCCTCTCTGACTACTAATATCACTTTATTTCTGCTGATGATGCTGTCACTTTCACACTGAAGCTCTCAGCTCAAGGGCCAATGGGCCATGTTGGTGACTACTTTAGTGAGCAACTTTCTAAAGGAAACATGAAGATACAACAAACTACACAAAAGAAGTTAGGCAGGATAATCAAATCTGAAGGTGAAATTGCACTTGGAGATGGATGGACAGAGTCACACAGGGCAACATCATGAGGCACCTCAGCATTTTACTTGCAGGCACAAAGTCTGGAGCTGGAAATTTCAGGGGGAAGGGGGACCATTCTGACCTGAAACTGAACCTGCTGGGAAGAGCCCAAAGGCTACTACCCAAGTTACCTGTCCTGAAAACAGCGCCTTTTAAGGATCTGTCTCACCTGAGCTGTTGCCCATCATGCGCAGCAACTAAAGTTCAGTCGAAGTTGCCACTTGCCAGTAGGCTCTTGCCTAGTCAGAGCATCTTCGTTTCAACACCGAGGAAAGATCAAAGATGAGAGTTTGTGACAACATGGGCTCAACTTTCCTGTTGAATTCTGTGACAAGAACGTACACCAACGGCAGTCAACGGCGTCGTTGACGGTCATATCAGATAATCTTATGTTTACATTTTTACTTCAACTCCTAATGTATGTAGCTTTATGCAAAGGGTGGTAATAATGTACACTTCATGGTCATTCCTGAATCCTGAACCATTGTGCTCTACCTATATGATAGCTGTTTTCTGGGCTAAAACCTGACTGAACCATTGGACTGATGCTTTGGGTATCCTCGTCAGGTTGTTCTTGTAGTCAATGTAGTAGAGACCGAATCGCACCGTGTAGCCTGAGTTCCATTCCCAGTTATCGAGCAGGGACCATACAAAGTAACCATGGACGTTGCAACCTTCTTTCCTGCAGTAATTCAAGTCGGAGAGTTCTTAAGTAGCCGTGAAACATATGGTCATAACTGTCAACAGAAGATTGATGCAGTCATGCTAACTGTAGCTATGTATGCAATCATGATGGTGTGTAACTAGCTTCTCCCGTGTCATTCTGGGGGTCTGAATGCAACAATTCGGTGAAGCTTTGGTAGAAGGCAGATGCAGATTATGTGGACAGTGCCGTTCCTGCGGTTATCTCAGGAACTAGAGAGCTATGTGTATGTTTTACCAGATTTATTGTATCTGCTTTGCACATATGGATGCCCATTGGTGCGATAAGCTAGCTTGCACTCAAGAACAACAAGAGTTGTGAACCTACTGCCTTCGTTCCCTTACGCTGTATCTATGTGCCAATTATAGCTCCCCTATGATGGAAAGTAAGCTTTTGGCTTCCCCTCTCGAAAGAAGAGAACTGCTGATGATTTTATATGTTCCAATGTATGTACACAGAAGTGAAACTTCACCTTATAGCATCCAGGAGATTAGACATATAATCATTGTGGTACTGTATCCTTTTATCATCTTGTAGGACGTCTTCTAATCTAGAAAATGGGTGGTTGGCATCATCCATACCTGCCATAAACAGCTCCCTTTGTTAACTATTATTATATGCTTTTTAAGGAAAGAATTCTTATCTACTGTCAATAATCTCCAGCCAACATACCATTTTCAGTAATGACTACGGGCGGGTTTCCATACTTTTCTTTCACATGTTTCATCAGCTTGAACATACCCCATGGAACTATGTGCAGCCAACTTGATGCTGCCTGAAAGTTGATCAATACAAATTTTAGTTTCAACCAATCATTTGACTAGAAATAGCATAAATGAAAGGATAGGTATAAGTATAACAAGTCTTAGCAACGGCAAGAATGGCTTTGCAAATTGTACCGTTTCTCCTATTTTCTTCCCATGTCTATAAGCTGCCATAGTGCATGCAGAGAAGTCAGTAATACTGAAAACAGACCAGGAAATTTAGAATCTCTTTATTTATCAAGACTGACCAGTTGGTATGACAGCAGAATCGGTTGAAGCATCATCCATTACAAGTTTCCTGATCCGCAATCTATCGTTTCTAGCATATAGTGTAGTGTAGTGGTTTATGCCAACAAAATCTAGTGATCCAGATACCAACTTTGATGCGTGAGTTGAAAACTGAGGCAGCCTATCACCTGCAAGTTTCTGCATAGAAGGAGGATAGTGGCCGAACATTAAGGGATCCAAGAACCTGTATTCACACTAGAAAAATGTCATAATTAATATACGTCCAGTTGCTATTTAGTGTAATTATATAGGAATTTAAATTAATTGATGTATCACCATCCAAGCTCAAAGTCCATTGCTCGCGCTGCTGCTTCTGTGTCTTCATCGGCATTTGAGAACGGTTCATACCATCTAGAATTAAGCGCAATCCCAATGAGGCCTCCTTGTTCATTCTGCAATTCATACAAAAAATGCATGCATACTATTGTCTTAATTGCTTCTATTTTTAAGAAAAAAAACATTACTAGAAAATTTAGTCACATGGATCACCTTGAAATGTTGTTCATAAGCACGAAAAGCACCAGCATGAGCTAAAAGTATGTTGTGAGCTACAATATATGGTTCAGTTGATGATTTACCCTCTCTACAGAACACATGTGACAGAATAGAACATCTCCCAGGTGCTTGGATGCCAAGGTCATAGCCGTCAATCGCAAAGTTGTAAGGCTCATTAAAAGTGATCCAGTGCTTCACTCTATCTCCAAATTCCTTGAAGCAAGTAAACGCGTACTGAACAAAATCCTCGCTGCACAATTAAGATGTCATAATCACTACAAAAAAGAATAGAAAGAGAAATTTTGATGCTACCTAACCGTTTAACTGATTATCTCAGCTAAAGGAAGATGATGTGATAGTCTTCCATACATGATTTCTGAGTTCAACCAGCCTCCGTATCTGTCTTCGAGTGCTTGGGGAAGGTCCCAGTGGAAGAGAGTTACATATGGTTCTATGCCTGATCCACAAATATAGAGAACACCAAAGAAAAAAAGTTCATATTAATGGCTGTTGGAAACAGTTTGCATTATGCAGACACCAAACAATAGAATACACTAGACCTTTATCTAACAGGGCATCTATGAGGCTGTTATAGTAACTCAATCCTTCTTCATTAGGTTCACCTGTTCCATCTGGCAAGATGCATGGTGGTATTAGTGAACAATAACAAAAAAAAAAAGATAGATTTTGCACATAATTTACATAATTCATACTTGGAAAGATCCGTGACCATGAGATAGAGAAGCGGTATGCATCCATGCCGATGTCATTCATTAACTCCACATCTTCCTGCCAGTTTATCCATTTAGTTGATGTCCTTATTTCATTACAAGCTCAATCAAAGAAATAGAATCGACTGAACAAATAAGACATGCTCTATCCAGAAAGCCTTCTTGATGCTCCAAAATGGCATCTTGTATTTGGAAAAACATCAGAAATGGTCTTCCTGTTATCTTAGTTTTGGAAGCAGCATGCTAGAGAAGTGGATTTGCACAATTAGTATACTAGTAATTCGTAAATTAGCAGTTTAGCATGCCTACAGTCTCTACACATTTAAACTGTAAATGGCCCAGACAAAACTTGCACTGGGATAATTTCCTAACAATATAATACGTCAGACATTGATGCTTGGAGATACAAAAGTGCGCAAGCAATTAGTTTTCATAAATTACTAGAAATTGTTGAAGCAAAGGTTGGCAAACATTTGACCTAACTTCCAGGATGCCTGGATTTGCACATTCCTGGTTAAATGACCAGTTCAGATTTCTTTGAAAAATAATCAATTCAGGTTCCATCAGATCATCCGTAAAACTATAATTCAAATTTAAAAGAACAACGTAATTGGTCAAGGCAAAGTTCACATTTTTAATCCCAACATAATTAGCCAAAAGGTAAACTTCATGTCCCAGATTACATATCAGGAACAAATGAAGTAAATAACATAAAGGAGGTACAGGAATTCATGAATTATGGATAACTCACCTTGTAGCGATGGTAGTGATCAACAGCAACATCTGCATTGCTGAAATCAATCACCCGACCTGAAGAAAGATTACATTGCTCATATTGCAGTCATAGTTTGCACCTCAGATTAGAGTACTTCTACAAATAAATCCCCATTACTGAACCTGGTCTTTTCGTGAGAGTATCCCATATGGTAGGTCCACGTTGGCCCTCATTCACGGCACCTTCATACTGGTAATATATTGACCAGAAATATCCATCAGACATCCATCTAAAAGAACTCAAGTGAAATTAGAGATCTTTTGGTAACACTAGACCTGGTAAGCTGAAGAAGCTGTGCCAAAGATAAAACCGGGAGGGAAGTCTGCTCTGCTTATAGCTTCAACACAGGCAGAAAAGCTGACAAGGATATGAACAAGTGTTAAGAGACTCATGGCCTTCCCTTCAGTAGGTAGCACTAACTACTAATGTCCACAGTCTATAGATAAGTAGCAGACAGGATTGTAAGATATATATAAACCTTGTTGAGTTGGTGGGGTGTGGGAAGCAACTGAAGGCTGATCATCACTTGTCTTGGAATCCAACGCGCGTCTCTGCTAAGTAGCTCTTGTGGAGGTGACAGGTTGCAATATCTCTATCACACTGGACATTTTATCAAAAAGGGAAGGAAACTTTGACATGTCCAACTCTGAAAGTGTCACGGGTGTAGCAAACTAAAGCTTTACTTGAGTGCAACAATTCCAGGCGCATTAAGGATTTCCCAGGATTCCAGCATTTAAGAATAAAAATTGTGTAACTGAGCCAGTCTTTAGGAAGCTACACCAGTTTGAGAGGAGTGCAAGCAACATGGAAGAAAGGCTGTGTTAATATCACGATAACACATTTCCTTCCTAAAATACCATCCTGCAGTATTGACCCCCCTTTTTTTTCTCTTATGCAATGATGCTAAGTGATAATGACAATAAGGAGCCTAAAAAATTATGATTAGGAAAATACAGTGGTTAACCCCAATATAATAGGAATCTTTGTTATCCAACTAGTTTGGCAGCACGGCATACCAACAAACAAGTACTACTAATTATTGATCACCACATTTGTTGCATTGATTTAATGAGTGGATAAACCAAAACTGATAGCAACGATTTAGTGATGAATTTATCCTGAGATTATAGCACAGTCACACACTTATCCCATTGGAAAGAAAACGGTTTGCTTGCACGGCAGAGCCTTTCAAGAATTGAATAGCTCCAGTGATAGCCACACGAAAGGGACAGGAGCGATTTGCTGATGGTGACCAGTGGAACAGGCAAGAATGTAGTGCACGTGTTATCCATGAAATCCCTCACATGTACACCTAAGGTTTATCACTAAATACAGTAACACACAAATACACAATGCATATAAACGTAGACTTTTGAGTCAACAGTTTTGTTTATCACGAAATATAGTAACTAACACTCAAATACACAATGCATAGAAACGTAGACTTCTGAGTCAACCGTGTTAGAATAGCTTGGCCAAAGATGCTCGATGATTCGAAATCTTCGGTCAAAAAGCTTGGAATTCATAGTATAACGACCACTGTCACTATGCTATTTGGTTTTAGGTAGAGAAACCAAGAGTTCTTCGATTCGAAATTAGGTTGGTTCCTCAACCTCCTCACATGGATCGGAAGGCTTCGATTCGAAGTCGTCCGATTCACATCGGTGCCATCTACCTACCCATCCCCATTCCCCACCGCCCACGCCCAACCCTATCAAATGAAACGCGAGATTGCAACCCCCCAAAGAGAAGAAAACGGCAGCGGAAATGGCGACGTCCCGATCCCCCACGCGGCGTGATGGGGAAGAACTCCTCAGGCGTACGCGCATCGGCAGCGTCGTCACCGCGAAAGCGCCCCCCAAAAGAGAGAGGAAATGGGTCCCAGAAAAGCGCAAAAGGGACGGAACTTGGGGGGTTGCTTGCCTCCGCAACTGTCGCTTGGCTTGCGCGCGTCGCCGGCGACGTCGAAGCCGCCGGAATCCGGGAGGCGCCACGCCTGGGCGCCCCCGCCGAAGCAGCATCTCGCGGCGCGTGGCGTGGTGATGATGCGTGTGGAGACGAAGCCACGCAACGCAACGAGGAAGACGACGAGCGTATGCTGGGCTGGGCCTTATCCGAAAACGGGTGTCGGCCCATATCAACCCAGGACGTTCGGCCCACGTTACTTGACCACAAACGGGATTGCGGACGACGAGCGGCCCACGACATTTGGGCCTTAACCGGATTGCTGACGTGCGTGATAGTAAGTCTATTTTGCCTCCCTCATGTTCTCTGCGAGTCAGCCTGCCACGTCAACAGGAACCACCCTACAAACCATCTAAGGGTTGATCTGCTACGGTTTTCGCTTATTCGAATCGTTTATTAGCAAATAAAAATTTATTTATGAGTAAAATGTTTATATATGTCCATAATAACTTAAAGCAAATGTTGTAAAATATAAGCATTTTAAAAAAACAAAAAAGCAAATTCAAAACTAAGTTCTCAAATTCAAATTTTGGCTCATAAATATAAGCATAACCAAACAATAAGACCGATTTTCCTCCATTTTGCGGTTGAGGGAGGTAATTCAATCAGGAGCAGAGATGAGAAATGTACAATAGATTTTATCTGTGTAGGTGCGACCTGTTCTTGTTGGGTCGAGACGGGATTGCGGCTTACGTGAGGCCCGCTATATTTGAGCCTGAACGGGATCGCGGCTGACTTGGGCCGTAAGGTCCGTTGTAGTTGGGCTGGATTACGATAGGCCTTTCATTAGGCCTTTATGAGTCTTACAAGTGGGCCAATCCATTCGGCCTAGAGGCCCATTTGTCATGTAGAAAAGCGCTCGCCATTATCCTGTCCGCGAGCACACGAAGGCGTTCGTTATCCTCTGCTGCTTCTCTGCGGTTTGAGCGAGCGAGGGAGGAAGAGGAGGGGAGGAGACGAAGATGGCCGGGGTGGCGGCGTTGCAGGGCGCGATGGCGTCCCTCTCCATCTCTGCGCCGGGGGCGGCGAGCACCAGCAGCTTCTGGGGCCACCCGCTCTCCACCTTCGCCGCCGCGCCGGCTGGGGTTTGTGCCGACTCCCAACCCTGATTCTCATTTTTCGCATTCCTTTATGTTTGCTCTGCTCTTATGATTCGCTGGAAAAGTAGAAATGCCAGCTTGCACTGAGATTTAGGATTTTAGAGCTCACCAACAGCGTGGCATTGCAATGGTGATGTCTACATCGCCTCACTGTACTGTTGTTGCCTTCAGGAGTTCAGGCTCAGGACCTCAACTAGCCAACAACCAACGTTGTGTCAAAATTTTGTGGTATATTTTTTTTAGAGAAAAGGTCTCAAGGATTTTGTGGTATAGTTGAACCTAGTTGGCTAGTATAAGGAGGGTTTATATGAATTAATGAATGCTTGAAATCTCAAGTTTGAGTATATCAACTGAGTGAATTCAGAAGTTAGAAATTGTGTTGTCTACCATGGGATGTGGCCTGTTATGTTTCAGTTTAAACTTGAATATTATTTTTTTCCTATGGTGGTATAAGCGATGGATACCCAATATTCAGCCTTTCAAGCAGAGGATTATTTTTCTGAAAGATGTGCCCTCTAGTGAGACAGACCATTTCTTGTTCTAACCTGCTGTATAGATCACATTTCGCTGGCTAGAAACAATTTTGCCTTTGAACTTTAAATTACTCAACAGTAGAAATTTCACAGAAGACTTCCATGGGAAAATGATGGAAACTCATTTCACTCGGGGATAGCCTGTAGCAAATGATTGGCACACTCGGTATACTTATCAGACTGAACTTGTTCTATCTTTTGTATATTCTTTTTGGCGTTCCTTAGCTCTTCTAGATAGTCTACTGCACTTCGTCCTCAGAATGAGACTCACTCACGACTAATTACTTACCTGGAAAGTGGTGATGAGAGAAAATAAGGCCGAATAATTGCTCTTGAATGGAGTGACTGAGCTATATATGGCACTTATATGATGAACTGTACTAAAATCTGCACTTATATGAAGAAACTCGTACTAAAAGATCATATGATTATCCTAGATATTCTTGCCTAAGAAACATCGTGAGCATGATTCATGTCATATCTCAAAAGCAGCTGATTATTACATTTTATGTCATTTTCATAAGAAACTCTGACAAGATATGCATAAATTTTTATATGCAGGTTAAATTTATGATCAAGACATGCCCAATTCAAATGAGGGTAAGTTTCAATTCTTTTTTGGTCTGCAGCTTGCTATTTACTCAAATGTCTGAAATTTCCCTTTTTCCAATGCAGCTTAAGCGATGGGAGAGGAAGAAGTGTAAACCAAACAGTCTTCCTGTCCTGCACAAGATGCATGTTAGGATTGGCGATACAGTACAAGTCATTGCAGGCCGTGAGAAAGGTAAAGTTGGAGAAGTTACGCGGCTTTTTAAGCACAACAGCACTGTAATAGTGAAGGACTTGAACTTGAAGTCCAAGCACAAGAAAGGAACAGAAGATGAACCGGGTGAAATCGTCATGGTCAGCATTGTTTCTCTTGAAACTTCTTTCTGTGCTGCTTCTAGCTAGTGTCGTATATATAGTTTCAGATGCCTGATCGTTAACCTATGGTTGTTGGTGTTTTCTTTGATCAGATTGAAGGCCCCATTCACAGCTCAAATGTGATGCTCTACTCAAAGGAAAAGAATGTGGCGAGTAGGGTTGGACACAAATTCCTTGAGGATGGAACGAAGGTTCGGTACCTGGTCAAGACTGGTGAAATAATTGACAGTGCTGAGAATTGGGTCAAGGTGTTCAAGGAAGGAAGTTCGGAGTGATCATGGTAGCATGGGAGTCCTGCACATTTTCTGAACTGCACTTTTTGTATGCCCAAATGAGTTGATGCTTTTCTAGATTCAGATTTCAGAGTCTTGTAAATTTCTATACAGTTGCCAACATTTTTTTGTATCCAATGACATGCTTGGCTTGTTAACCAGCTACTAGAATGGTTCAGCTACATTCGCTCATACAAATGATTTTGTAATGTTGTTGCTGTCCCCTGTCCTGAGCTATTATTCGCAACCATTGACTAATTTGGTCCATTTCCATATAGAAATATAGATGAGATGTACATATAAAACCCATGAATGATTGATAAGTTCTTTTTTTTAAGGAGTAGTAAGATAGGAGTATCATAAAAGAAACAAGCTTAGCAATTTTTTTTTTGAAACAACCCGCAGCGATGTTTCTATTGATATAGTAGGAAAAAAATACAAATATATAGTGCTAAAAGATAGCGATGTTTCTATTGATATAGTAGGAAAAAAAATACAAATATATAGTGCTAAAAGATTATAGTCAGAAAAAGGAAAAAACAAATCTGATTTGCCATTGATAACATGAAAGCTCAAGAGCTCGTGCTGACGGCTGAGAATCAACATAGCAGATATGGCACGCAAATATCAAATCCAGGTGATCGTAAGCAAACCACAGTTTTCTGCTTGCGTTTTGCTCCGCGAGGGAAACCTGACACCTGTCCAGATCCCATGAGACGAAGATGCAACCCATCAAGGTCACGAAAACAACGGGAAGTCGGCAACCTGTGCTGCACAGTGCACACAGCCTTTGACAGCACGTGCGCAGCGCGCGAGCCAGATCTAGCTGGTAGTACAGATGGGCAGCATCGGCGGCGGCGGCTCGCCGGAGGAGCGCGCGGCGGCCGGTGGGCCGGTGTGCGTGACGGGGTCGACCGGCTACGTCGGCTCGTGGCTCGTCCGCGCCCTGCTCCGCCGCGGCTACCGCGTCCACGCCACCGCCCGCGACCCAGGTACGCCGTACGCGCGAGCTCGCTCGCTAGCATCGATGAAGCTCGTGGCGTGGTGAAACTGACGATCATGGCGGCCGGCGGCCGGGGTTTGGTGGCAGACAAGGCGTGGCGGGTGTTCTCCGCCGTGGAGGAGGGGAAGGACCAGCTGCGGGTGTTCCGGGCGGACATGGCCGGCGAGGGGAGCTTCGACGCCGCCGCGACCGGCTGCGTGGCGTTCTTCCATGTCGCCGCCTCCATGGACATCCACGTCCCACCCCAGAATGGCAACGACAACAACATCGGTAATTTACGAAGTTTAATCTCCGCCAAATCAAGATTACTTCCATCAATCGCTACTAACCGCATGCACATTTGGATTAGACCGTAATTAATTAGTTTTCGTGTTCTTGATGGATTCTTGAAGAGGAGCACGTGAGGACGCGGGTGCTGGAGCCGGCGACGAGGGGAACCATCAACGTGCTTCAATCCTGCGTCCGCGCGGGGACAGTGCGCAGGGTCGTCTTCACGTCGTCCATCAGCACGATGACGGCGGCGACGACGACGGCGGCGACCGGGCGGCGCAAGGCCGTCGTCGACGAGTCCTGCCTCCGCGCCGCCGCCGACGTCTGGAACACCAAGCCCATCGGCTGGGTGCGTATACATAGGCGCGCGCACACACACACACACACCTGCTACACTCCATGAATCCTCTGAAAAACTTAGTGTTCCATGGATCAATGAACATTTTGCAGGTTTACATCCTGTCGAAGCTGATGACGGAGGAGGCGGCATTCGGGTTCGCGAGGGAGAATGGCATCAATCTGGCGTCGCTCGTGCTGCCGACGGTGGCCGGCCCGTTCTTGACGCCGAATGTGCCTACCAGCATCCAGCTCCTCCTCTCACCAATTACAGGCAAACAAATTCTCCATCACACAAGTACATAATCATGTACAGATTGTACTAATCTTGCAATGATCAACAGCATTGTTCTGAAAATCAATTTGTGTGTTCATCTCCATATGCAGGTGATCCGAAGCTGTATTCTCTGCTGGCATCTGTGCACTCCAGGTTCGGGTGTGTGCCATTGGCACACATCCAGGACGTGTGCGACGCTCACGTGTTCTTGATGGAGACGGAGCAAGCGGATGGACGGTATCTGTGCGCCGGAGGGAGCTATCCGATGGCCCAGATTGCTCAGATTCTGTCCTTGCACTACCCTCCTTTCAAACCTGCAAAAAGGCAAGCAGCTGTCAACCAGCCACATCCATGTCTTTCAGATCATAGTAGTAGTATTTTTTTAGGGTCAAGTTGATCTTGTGCTTTTCTGGTGTTTGATTAGGACTACGTTGATCTGGTGTGTTTTGGCATGAAGCTGCAGGTTAAGCAAAGATTTCCATGGCTCAAACCCGTCGGTGGTATCGTCCAAGCGGCTGAGGGATTTGGGGTTCAGGTTCGAGTATGATGTTGAGGAAATCATCAAGAACAGCGTCGTACAGTGCGTTGATCATGGATTCCTGCAGGATCCCGACAGTTCCAACTGTTAGTGGTAGTAGAGTAGTGAGTAGTGACGCTCAGTGAGACAGTGACTGAGCCAAGTTGCTGTCTGGTTGGGCCTGAAAGGCTTTCTTTCTTGTACTACTAGTAGTTAGTACTTGTAATTCAGTAATGTATTGTATTGACAAGAGATCAAGGCGGTATGAAATCAGTTTCAGAACCACACACACACACACACACACACACACACACATTTTCAGTATTATCCATGCAGCTCAACATTCACCACTATCTCGAATTGATGCCATATTCCTAAGCACCACAACATCATGCAAACATCCACTGATAAACACACGCATTTGCAAATCTAAAAAAAAAAACTGCTAAAATCATGTGCTTTTTTTTTCTGAAGAAGAAACAACAGCAAAATGTACATACTAACAAATCGCCAGCATCTAACAGAACAGAACAATACCTGGGATCAGATCACCACTCTAAACAATGATTCGATTCCTCAATTCTTAAAAGCAGTTTTGCAGAAGGAATCATCAAGGTTTACAGATGACGACGAAGCAAGGGAGGAGAGCTCTCGGGTTGAGCAGGTAGAGCTCCTCGATGCTGGCGTAGGCGCCCACCTTGCCGGCGACGGAGTCGAACCCCGGCTGCGCCGCCACTTCCTGGAGATTCTCCAGCGGCCGGTGGATCCTCCCGGCGACCACCCTGCACACCAGCAGCGCCTTCCTCACGCCCGCGTTCGCCGCCTCGTCGCCGTCTCCGTCTCCGGCGATGCATTCCAGCGCGCGCTTGCTGGTGGAGGTGGTGAACACGCCGACGCCGTCCTTGATCTCTCTGGTCGCCGAGAAGCCGTGGCGGATGATGCGGCAGACGCTGCAGCTGCCCGACGTGCAGAGGGTGGAGGAGTCGCCAGCGCCGAGGGAGCAGGCGAGCGTCGTGGCGTGGAACCGGAGGAGCTCGTTGCCGTCGGCGAGGCAGCGCGGGTGCTTCTTGGACAGCCTCGCCGCCTTCCCCTTCACCGCCTCCCTGAACTCCTCGAACCGCGCCACCGACCTCTCCGCGTTGTGCACCTTCACCACCCGCTCGATGCGGCCCAGCGCGTTCTCCGTCTTCGCCCACCCGGCCTTGCAGATGATCTCCACCACCTTCCTCGACGAGTCGCCTTCCACCAGCTCGGTCACTGCAAGAACGCGCGCCATGGATGATGAAACAGAGAGGCAGAGCAAAGCTTGCCTTGAGAGTTCGTCCATGGTGTTTGGTGCTCCGCTTACCGGCGTGTCTGGAGTGGTGGTGCGACTCCAGGGCGTCGTGGTTGGCGAAGCGGTCGCCGCAGCGGTGGCACCGGATGCCGACCTCGCAGGAGGCCCTGGCGGGAGCGGGCGACGGCGCCTCGGCGTTGTCGTCGTCGTCATCGGCGCGGCGGAGCGGCGACATGGCGGACGGGGACTTCCTCGTCGAGACAGGGGTGGTGCTGCACCGCAGCAGGAGCGGGCTGTGCGGGAACGGCACCCCGCCGCCGGCGCCGGCCCACGCGCCGCGGCCGGGGGTGCTGATCCGGAGCTCGCACTTCGCGTCCGACCTGGCGGCGAGCAGCACGTCGTGGGTCACCGGGTTCAGCACGTCGTTGCTCCCTATCGACCTCGGGCTACCGCATCCCCCATCGCCTTCGCCGGCGGCGGCGGCGGCGACGGCGTCCTCCTGCCTCCGGCTGCCACCGTACTGGCTGTGGAACACGTCCCTCAGGTTGGCGATGGACCGCGAGCACCCCGACCTGCGCAGCGCCGCCGCCGACGTCGACGACGACTTCTTGCCGGCTGTGACGCCGCCCTGAGATTCCTCCCGCTCGATCACGCCGCAAGAATCCCCCGATTTGCAGTTGAGCGACTTCTTGAGCGCCGCCCACACCGTCGGCATCTCCCCCTTCTCCGGCGACTCCCCTTCCTCGCCGGACAATCCGATTGCTGCCAATCAAACCACTCCATTTTTAACAAGACACGCAACACACATTCCATGATTCCATCTAGAGAAAAAGGATCCAAAACTAAAGCAGATAGTACTAATCACTGTATATTCAAGAAAGAAATTATCTACAAGATGAACAGGGGGAAGAACCTGAATACTGCAATGACTGTGCACTGCTAACTGTAAGTCTGTAACTGCTAATGTCATTCATTCCTCATCATTGCCTTCTTCTTCTTCTACCTTCAGCTGGCCAGAGAGTATTACTGTCTCCATGGATGCAAAGTTCAAACTGAACGGGTCTCATTGGCACATGCAGCTAGCTAGAGGCCGGCATTATCTTGGAGTAAACTGGTAGGTAAAAACAATTGGGACTGGCTGGCCTCTGAAATTGCTCTTTGGTCTTATGCATGGACTATGCCAGTGACATGGGCTCACTCTTCAGTCTTGAGACGTTTTGCTACTTCCAAGGGGACCAGAAACGGACGAACGGATCGTAAATGGGTCTGCGGCTTAGGAGAATCTTTGGCACTGCGTACAATGCACACTCTGGTCTAATCTTTGAACAAAATACAGTAATAATACTGGGCTATGGGGATTAAAAAAAGTTTGAGCTGATCGGTAACAGTTCAGTTCGTGCCAATGGGCTAAGCTATGGCCTGATTGATCGACAACCGGCACTGAAATGCGGCAGGGTTTTGTTCATTTGTCACCGCATAATGGCATGATCCAACCACGCATGGCCGTTAGCAAGTCCTAGGATACCGTTCAGTAAGCGGTGATGCAACGTGGGTGCTCAGTTGGCACGGCATGAGCTGATCAGATTGGCCATTTTGGCTCCAGGATTCATAGTCAAAAGAAATTACATGTCCTGCTTAAACATATAGTAATAAATGCAAAAGAAACCTTGAAAATCTACCAAAACTCAATGAGCTAAACAGTGTGAAACAAATTAATTTTAGAGTGAAGTGCTTGCCGGTCTCTAGTCCACTTGTGTCCTCTAAATTCCCGAACTTTCAAAATACATTTTCAAGTCTCCAATTTATCAAAGTTTATCATTTTGGTCCTAAATTGACACGAGCCTATTGGATTCTACGTGGTGATTATCTGGCATGCCACATGAACACTAAAGTGACATGTCAGATAGATATTCTAGTCTTTTTTTTCTTCTTCTTCTTTTTCCTTCCCTTCTTCGTTTCCCTTCTGTCGTTTTTTCCCCACATGAATGGGAAGGAAGACAAGAAAAGAAAAAGAGAAAGAAAATGAGTCAATACCGGCATGCCACGTGAGCGTCACGTAGGATCCCAGAGGAGTTGTGGCGATTTAGGCACTTTGATAAGTTTGGAGACATGAAAATATGTTTTGAGAGTTCAAGTACTTGAATGACACAAGCAAACAACTTTAGGGACCGAAACAATACACTTTACTCTTAAATTTAGGCTATGTGCGACAAATGGGTTATAAGATGTGTGATTGGAAAAGGAAAATGAATGAATGTCTAGGATTAAATGAGGTGTGAATAATAAATAGCTAAGATACAATAATGTCCTTTGAATAATGTTCCATTTGTCAAATGAATCCTTAAGGCATGCATGTTGACCAGATGATCACCGAAGCATTAAATTTGACAAAAAAAATCTCTGGAAAAAAAGGCGTATCAAACAAGGACTATTTTACCATCATTCGAAGGTGGTGTCAAATTATAGCCAGCCAATACATGAACAAGTTAGAAAACTGTCAAAACCCAATTCATCAATAGTTGAGATTTGGTGGTGGTATATTTTTTTTCCTTTTTTTTGATTATGACCTTTTAGGGTTGTAATCTTGTAATTTTTTTTCTCTATCAATGGAACTTTGCACGGTTGTTAAAAAAAAAACAGTTGGGACTTTTCAAGAAAAAAAAAACGGCCGGAGCACTGTCAAACGAACTCACTAATAGGCCTCGAAATCTGATTGGGCTTTTCACGAACAAAGGCCCATAAAATGTAGCCCATTTAGGCCCAAACTGTACATCACCCGTGATTAAACGGCCCAGCCCAAACATCATAACACTGGATAGGGTGCAGACAAGGGTCCCACCCGTCAGATCCCAACACGTCATCATTGCCGATCCGCTTCCAGAAGCAGCGGCAAGTTTCCATCTCCTTCTTCCCCTTGGCTTTTTATCGCTCGATCAGGTGGCAGCGACAACGAGAGGGAGAGCGAGAGCTAAGTTCGCCGGAGAAGATGGCGATGCGGCGGTGGAGAGAGGATGCGGTGGCGCTGTCGCTGCGCGGGTGCGGATTCGGCGACGGGGACGACGACCGGCCGGAGAAGCCGCGGCGGTACGGGGTGACGGAGATGAGGAGCCCCTTCTACGCCTTCCGCCCCGCCCACCACGCGCTCCAGGTTCTCGGAGAGCCCCCCGCCTAATCCATCCCCATTTTTGTTTCATGCTTCTACGAATCGCTGCTGGGTTGTGGAATTTGGTGTAGTTTTAACTTTTAATCGCGTTCTGATTCCCACCGAATCGTGTTTGAAATGAAGCCCTATCTGCTGCATAATTCTTCGTGACTTGATTGTTTATTTGTTAATTCCTAAACAGGGCCACCATATTGGAATCTTCAGTCTGTGCGATCAACGATCAGTGTCAGTTTGTAGATCAAGTGGTACATTTGTGGATGTCAGAATGCGTAGCAGCTACAGCTAGTTTTATCAGTTAGATTCTTAACCAAGCTGTTCCCTCTTATGTCGACATAGCATGGTCCCGTGATTATATGAAGTGCTTAATGCCATTTGAGAATTTGAGAATTGAGGATGCTTACTTGCAATGCAAATGAACTTTCTGGCTACTTTATTGCTGCATTGAAGCTGTGACTAGGAAGATTTTATATTACTGTTTCCTTTCAAATGAAGAAAATTCTAGAATCTAGATAGGAGTACATCACTTGAAAACAGAATGAACCTCCTGGTTAGGGATTTCAAGGAATAAAACAGCTCGTTCTCAAGGCTGTCATTTCCTGTTCTATTTCAGGAAATATTGGATTCTCTAGGTCCTTTTGTTGATGGTTTGAAGTTTACTGGTGGATCTCATAGTTTGATGGGAAAAGAACTGGTTAGAGAGATTACTGATTTAGCACACAAGCATGACATATATGTGAGTACAGGAGATTGGGCAGAGCATCTTCTGCGTCAAGGACCTTCTTTTTTCAAGCAATATGTCGAGGTATGCAGGCATTTTGTTTGTTTTGAGGTACATTGGTAGTGGTACACTGTGATACACACTTGTCTCTGAAAATTCTGAAACCACATGCATGACATTAGATGTTCCGTTTCAGGAGTGCAAGGCATTAGGATTTGACACCATCGAGCTGAATGCTGGATCTCTCAAGCTCCCGGAAGAAGCTCTCCTGAGATTAGTCCGCCTCATCAAGACTAGTGGTTTGCAAGCAAAGCCCCTGTTTTCAGTGAAGTTTGACAGTTCTGATATTCCTCCATCTGGAGATAGGGCATTTGGGGCATACATAGTTCCAGTGAAGCAGAATTCAGGTAACTATAATAAGCAATCGCTTTCTAATGCCCTTGTTTAGCTACTTCTCTGCGTACTAAGCAATGTAAGTACAAACGCAAGAAAACAGCATTAAGGGAAAAGTTGCTCAACATACATTTGTCAACATCAGTTTTTCCTTGGGGAATTTAGTTACAAAGCAATTTAATACTATCACCGTATGTTTATTTGGCTATGCTGTTGGCTCTGTGATTGTACTGTCTACATTTTCCTATGATGCCTTCCTCACTTTGATGTGGTGCAGAAAGAGTCGAGGATGTTGACCTGTTGATAAGGAGGGCCGAGAGGTGCTTGGAAGCAGGGGCAGACATGATCATGATCGATGCCGACGACATTTGCCAGCGCGCTGACTCTCTACGGGCAGACATCGTCGCCAAGATTGTAGGCCGGCTCGGGCTCGAGAAGACCATGTTCGAGGCTTCCAACCCCAACACCTCCGAGTGGTTCGTCAGAAGATACGGGCCACGGGTAAACGAATCTTCAATTCTTCCCTGAGACCCTGAAGCTGTGCACAATGCTATGCTTATTACAATGCTATGCTGACAGACCATTTTGCAAGCAAGAAGCTTAGACTCGTTCATGAGGCATTTCCAGGTGTATCTAACGTGTTGCGTTGTGAATGTAGGTGAATCTGTTCGTGGATCACTCCGACGTGATGAACCTGGAGCGTCTCCGAGGCTTCAACATGCGTGGAGTCTGCAACTCTCCCTTATTCGGAATCGGCTCGCCCTTCTTCCTGATGTGACGACCTCCCTGAATCCTCCTGATGTATACGACCTTCCTGAATCGTGCCAGTCCTATCTCGCATGGAATGCTGTGTTCGTGGTGTTGAGATGCCTTCCTGCAATAACTGGATCTGGATGATGTGTAGTATGAAAAAAATGTACTCCTGTCTGCTAGCAGTATCAGCTCATGTATCGTATGTACTCTTCATTCTCTACTCCTGCCCGGAAACTTATTACTCCTTGTCACAGTTTATAGGGTGTTCTTTTACAAGAAAAAAATAACTCGGTAAATGTTTGACTAATAACAATTGCCCCTAATCGTCGTATTAACAGTGCTAAATATTATACACGTTATCTTACTAGATTCATATTTTGAAGCATTCATCGGGAATATAGCATAGAATAAATTAATGGTTCAAGTATGCAATTGAAGATTGTGTAAAAAAAAAAAGACCACCTATAATTTGGTACGGAAGGAATATTATCATTGGTTTGGGCTTGTTTGGTTGGGCCGCTAATGGTGCGCAGAGAACATGGGCCTGATTTGCCGGGCCACATGGGCCGGACTTTGCTATGAGGCCCATTTCGTCGTCGTCGTCGTCGTCGTCCCGTCTCCCGAACTCGCCGTGCGGCACTCGTGCTTTGCTCTTCTCGTCTCCCCACTGGCCGCCGCCACGTCTCGTCTCCTCCTCCTCCTCGCCGCCGCCGCCGCCGCCGCGGGAGAAGGGTTGGGTTGGTGAAAGAGAGATGAGGGAGATGATGGGTCCTCCCCGCCGCGGCCCGGCGTACAAGACGAAGCTGTGCGCGCTGTGGAGGCAAGGCGAGTGCAACCGCGCCTCCTGCAGCTTCGCCCACGGCGACGCCGAGCTCCGTGGCCCGCCGCCTCGTTCCCCGTTCCCGCCTCGCGGTGGACCTGGTATGCGCGCACCCCCTCTCCCTCCTCCCCTTCCCCGTCTCGCTCTCCCCTTCCCATCTGCTTTTCTGCTTCTCGGCGGTTGCCGTGTGCTCTCGATCCGCAGCTAGGTGGCTCTAAATCTGTTCTTCTGCAATGGAATTACTGTCTCCGCCGATGTTCTATTGTGGACAGATTGTGCCGATTGTTTTCTAGGAAATTATTCAGACGGAGTGAAACTGGGTTGAGTGTGATCTGCTATCAGTTTGAAAAGTTTGGGGGATATTCATATTTTGAGAAGATTCATGGTGTCCTACCATGGCCCCAAGAAAGAGCATTCTTTTTAAAATAGGAGTATACATCGTTTCATCTGTTTATGTTGGATTTCGTTTATAAATCCTGAGAGGATGGGCTGCATATGTGGGGAATATGACAGACAGTGCGGGATGCTGGTTGTACAGCGAAGTGAAAGAGATATCAATTCCATCTGCGCTGTGTGCTTTCTGCAGAAACTTTTGGAAATGTTGTGGAACTGAGCTAGTAGTAAGAGAAAATGATTAGAAGAATACCAACCATGGTAACATCTGACAAGAGCTGCCCTGTAAGATAAACACTGATGACCTGGTTTCTATCTCTGGCTACTTGTTGGAAGAAATATACTCTACAGCCTGCACCTGGTCATGTGATATCAGCACTAGAGTCATTTATATACAAAACTAGAGCGTAATAATTCCATCAGTTTGTGTGATATCATTTTGTTGTACTGTTTTATCGCCCATATATTATCCTTTTCTTATAGTACTTTGGCTGCCAAAGTTTCATGAACAATGTGACATCTTTGCTAATCATATTTTTGCTACTGTACAAATTAGCTGTTCCCAGAGAGATTTTCTCCAACCGACTACTTGCAGAGGATGACGCATCCTATTTTCATTGCACACCTTTTCAGTTGGTAATCAGACATTTTATGGTCGCTGGAATGCTTATCTTGCTACAGGAGATTTCTTGAGGGATATCATGTGGTTTCAGTCAGATGCATGTTATCTTAATGTGCTAAAGCACCTAGCAGCTTTTGCAACTAATTGTAACAAATTTGCTGAATACACAGCGGCAAGGTCTCCTCTTGGGCTTTATTCTTGCCTGCCATTCCAAGTATGATCACAGAAATATAAAATTTGAAGTCAATACCAATAATATCTGGACAAGTGGAATTAGGTTTGTTCGACAATATTGGAATTTGGAAGATCTTTCTTCGTGATAATCTCAGTATGATGTCAAAAATTGGATATTCCATCCATTATTCACTTCTCATGACTGACACGTTACAAGGTGCTGGATTTATTTTTTAAGTGGTGCATCATACACGTGATATGTGATCATATATTGGTCTCCCTCATGCATTAGTCTCATTGGATCTGCTCTTTTATGCCCCCCTGGGGTTATGTTGGTGCCTCTGCTACTTACTGATAATTGAATAATCATATGGCTCAAGGTTGTGGTAAGCTTAATGGGTTTGTGTGCTGCCTCATATGTGTATAGCTCCTCTATCTTTTGTGGCATATTGCTTCTTTGTACATATATGTATGTAAAAACTACCATACTGAATTGTAGGGAGACGAGACCATAGACCTGATGACTTTAGAGGTAGGCATCTGAGACCCCATAGGAGGAATTCCCCTGAAAGAGATGCCAGGGATCATTTGTTCCGTGATCACAGACCGCGCTCTCGAGATAGAGGTAATATGCTACCAATAAAATTCTTCGTTGTAACTAGTCTATTCTATTTTTAAACTTCTATATAATCTCTGAACTTTTGTATGTTGAAATCTTCCCTGCAGGCTCTAGTCATTCAAGATCTCCCATCAGGAAGAGGTATGGGGCTAGGGTATACATACATCTTTGTAATCGAGTCCTTACATGTGGTTATGCCTGTTTTTATCTATTTTATTGGGCATATAATCTACCTTCATGTGACCGAATGACTTGGTTCCTGCTAATTGTTAATGCCCTTTGCTTGTGATGCACCCAAGGGTTAGCAGGTAGCCTGGGGCATGCTTATGTTAAAGGCACTTGTGCTTGTTGATATACTTATAAATTACAAACTACACAACTACATACACATCAGAGTATCAGACAAATATAAACATGTTGCTCTTAGGCTTCCATGCAAGTAATTATGTTCACAGGACCATTTTGTTAAATATGCAAGCTGAGAAATGTGTATATTAATCCTCTCATACAAATGATTCTTTTTTCAAAATTTTCAAGAAAATTATTATTTGTTGCACCATTTAATGCAGTGTTTATACAGCAACCTACTGTAGAGTATAATACTATCTTATCTTGCTCTGTTTAATGAGGGAACCCTTTGGGTTTGTTGTTTTCACGAAAGATAGTTCTACTATGTTGCCATGTAACCGCTGCATGTTTTTGTCTTGCAATTTGGTCGTTTGGTGCAATTGTATTTATGTATTCCATGGATCTTTCATTGAGGGAAGGCATAGAAAGAAGCTTGAGGGTGGAAAAACTAATTCATCAGAAAGTTTGAACTCCTCTGATAACGAAGATAGAAAAAAGGATGATAGATTCAACAAAGCTGATGATAAACATGATAATGAAGCACAGGTTTGATTATGATCTATGCAATCCATCTCGCTAGCAAACAGTTATAGTCGTCCCAATGCTACTGAATCTCTTTTATATATTTGCTTATGTTATGCAGCTGCAACGCATTCAACTGGATATGGAAGCATTACATGAGGAGAAATCTTCACTGGAGGTATAATGTTCTTCATACATATGTTACATGTCCAGCACAACCATTAGTTACTTCTGCTTTATTATTATATGCATGCACATTTGAAAAGCTGATACCTGCACTACATGGATTGTGTTGAGCATTCTACCACTTGGCTGCAATTTATGTTTAGTTTATATAAATTTTGGACTGCTCCAATTTTTCTGTTTTGTTTTCCTGCCTTAACTATAATGATTATCTGTGGGAACTTTTGTGTTGAGTAAAGTTCATAAGATGTTCAATCCATTCAGATATAATCAGATGGCTCCAGATATGATGTGTCAATATTGACGTTAACTGATGCTACAATTGAACAAATTGATGGCTAGTTTACCTTTTTAAGTGACAAATGATACACTTCTTGAATCTCTTTTAGTTGCGCCTGTTGCACTTATTGTACTCTTGAGGTGTTTCAAATTCTTCTTATTGTTCATTCTTGCCTGTATGTTGATATTGTACCCTATTGATGCATCCTTCTTCCTTGTATTATAGGTGATACTGAATGGCAAGATCAATGAAGCATCCAAACTTTCTAGCAGAATAGCTGATCTTGAATCACAATTGAACGATGAAAAAGAAGCTTGCGAAAGGTTTTTTATTTCTACAACACATGAGCATAATCTTCTCTCTTTTTGACAAAAACATCAGTTTGTGGATTCTTCAGCTGATTAAAAATATCCCCATGTCGTCTGACTATTCATAATACTGCTCTGTCACTTAGGATGGCCTCAAAAACAAAGAAACTCATCAAAGCACATGCACGCTATGTGAAAGCTCAGGATGATTTAAAGAGGCAGGTTTCCTGTTTGTCACCTATCTGATCTGCATACTTCTATTTTGTCTATATGAGAAGACAACCCTTTTTTTAGTCTTTACATCTATTAACACATTAAAGGGGGTGCAGGTCGCAAGCTCGTTTTGAGAGGTTCGCTGATTTGCTTGCTTCAGATACCTTGAAGCCGTGTAGCAAGGATCAGGGTTCTAGTGCTGCTAAGGAAGATCCATATAATGCTTATGAAATGAGTCCAAGTGATCAACGGCAGAATCATGAAACAACTAGAAAAAGATCCGTTGCCCTCTCAACTAGCGAAGAAGGAAGGAATGGTAAGCTAACTAGATGACATGTTTGGAGATATCTATTTAATAGTCGAATGGTTTGTCCGTATTAACGCTGCCAACTAGATATTAGACACATCCATGATTTTCCTCTGTGGTAAATAAACAAATGATTGACATCCTGTTACTCTCACCTGTGGCTTCTTCAGGGAAGAAAAGGAGAGAGAGTTATGACAACAGGGATCCTATGTCAGAGAAATATAGACCAGAAGATGCTCTAGAACCTTTTCAGAGCAGCAAGGGAACTGAGGCAAAAGAACTATTATCTGTGAAGAAGAATTTGGGGGATGGTGACAACAATGAGAAAGGAAATGTTGTTTCTTCTGCAAATGTTTTTACAGATAGGGTGAGATGCTTTCTTGCTTATTCTCTTTATATTCTCTGTGGTTGCTAGTTGCTCGTTGCTATTTCTCAGTAAAAATTAGCTAATGTTATGATTCAAAGTTGATTTCCTTTTTGTTTATTATCAAATCTGGTAGCTCGTTTGGCTAGAATCAAATCCGATAATCTAATGTTTGTTCATTAGCAGCTAATAACCAGAATACTATAATCCATCAGTTTCAAGGTTTTGCTGATTGGTTCTAAATGAATCATTTGTGTTCTGTGATCCAAGTTTGATAACTAGAATAACTTCGTGACACCATATGGTAATTGCATGATTTATATGTATCATATGTGTTCTTTATGATCCAAATTTGATATCTAAAACAACTCTGACAGCATTTGGTAATTGCATGATTTTCTTTTATTTCTTGATCTCTTTCCATGTTTTAATTTTTTTTCTAATATACGTCCTCCACATAATTCCCTCCCACTAGTATTATGCTTCCGTTTCCAAACATTGCCTTGGTATTTTTCTCAGAGCATCATCCTGACAATTTGTGCCCTATTTTGCTTACAGTATGAGGGCGGTGATGATGATGATGTTCTTGTGGACTAGTAAATTCATGCAGATGGAGATTGACAAAGATTTCAGCAGTAAGGAGTAGGGTGAAGTATGGAACATGCGTTCATTGCCATGCCAGTTGCGTTTTCACAGACTAACCTGAAACTAAGGCTGCCAGCCTGTTATTTATCTTAATGTATCATTTAATACACCGGGCATTAGGAATTAAGCATCTCGATAACTTCTGTGGCGAAGACGAGTTGCATTGTTCTCAAACAGGTTATTCTCACATTTGGGCAAACTGTGCGTCGTTATTACCATGGATTCCAAGTAGCCTGTATGGATAATGTATCTGGCAGCCTATTCGAGTTAGGTTTGGTATTCATGGATTCATCATTGTGTTGTAAATTTGTAATGCTGCGATCTTTAGCGTCTGTGTTACTACAGCATCCCATGGTTTCACTCGGCATGAAGCTTCAATCCTTTTTCTTTTTTCTTTGAGATGGAAGTTGAACTGTGGATGCTAAGGCCACCATCGTTTGGCTTAGAGGTGAAAATGGTAACGGTAATTCCCGGCCGACTGGCGTTCGTTTTTGACTTTTAACCGGCCGAACTATATGGAAATGGTAATCGACCAAAAAAATATGGAAATGGTAAAAAATATGGAAACAGAAACGGAAATGGTTTTGCTGTTGTACCGATCATTTTCGTATTTACCGTATTCTTGCGAAAATTACCGTTTCTTATAATATGGTAATTACCGTATTTCTAAATATGTCGATATTTATAGGGCATGTATCTACTTGACCCACAGGTTAAAGATTGATTGACTCTTCAATCAAATCCCTAACTTGAGTGCATGGCTAAAATATAGTTATATAGTACAACCCTAATTTATGTAAAGTTAAATATATGTTTTTATAGTTTAATGTTTCCGTATTTGTTACCGGTTTCCGATCTGTACCGACATGTTTTCGTCCGTATTATTCTGTTTCCGGTTTTCCAATATTTCCGATACCATTTTCATTTCCGATTTTACCGTTTTCGATTTTGTTTCTGAGAAGAATATGATTACGGAAATGGTTGAGGCTGTTTTCCGATCGTTTCTGACCGTTTTCATCCCTAGTTTGGCTAAATGCACCATATGACAGCAGATGTTGTATAGAGGAAACGATAGGCGCTTAAATTAGAATGTTTCAATCCCGCGTGAGCCTTTGTGCATACAGTATTTTAGAGGCTTTTTGTAGGAATTCTATTTCTTCAACCCCTTAATAATGTTGTTCTTCGCATCGGTTGTAATTTGGTAATGCCATTTTTTTTTTTGTTATTGACCAGACATATGGCTAATATTAAGATATTTCTAAATTCTGATTTGGTTGAGTTCGGCTACAAACCAACAGTTGCTATCAAGTCAATGTGGTGTTTGAAAGATGAATATAAAGATTAAGTGTTTTTACGTAAAATGAGATGGTATTACGTATGATTAATTGAGTTTTAATTATTACAAACTTGAAAAATATATTTATTTGATATTTTAGAGCAACTTTTATATAGAAAATTTTCGCACGAAACACACCGTTTAGTAGTTTAAAAAGCGCAAATATTCAAATTTTCATCCAACTTTTGTTCAAGAAAAGAACAGGGCCTCTTTTCGAAAATCAGCTATTTACGAGGGATGTTTCTGTAATTTCACACAAAGAAGAGGGTACAAGCTCTCGCTCTCTCTCGGAGTCTCGGGAATCCTCTCCCCTCCACCGCCGCCGCCGCCGCCATCACCGGCGCTCCGAGCCCTACCTCCCTCCCCTCCCCTCCCCTCCCAACCCGGCTGTCTCATGGACCGGCAAGCCCAGGACTACGCGGCCGCGGCCATGGCGTACGCGCAGGCGCAGCAGCAGCAACCGCAGTACGGCTTCCACCCTCAGGCGCCGCCGCCGCCGCCGCAGTACCCGCACCACCCGCCGCCCTACGCCGCGCCGCTCCCTCAGTACGCGCCCTACGCGCGCGGCATGCCGCCCCCGCAGGCCCAGCAGCTCTACTCGCACCTCCCGCCGCACCAGCAGCCTCCCCACTTCGCCGCGCACGCCATGCCGTCGCCCTCCCCGCCGCCGCCCCACCCCGCCTACATGCACCCGCCGCCGTTCGACTCCGCGCCACCCCCCGCCGCGGCCCCGCCCCCCTCCGACCCGGAGCTCCAGAAGCGCATCGACAAGGTCGTCGAGTACATCGCGAAGAACGGGCCCGAGTTCGAGGTCGTGATCCGCGACAAGCAGCACGACAACCCGGACTACGCCTTCATCTTCGGCGGCGAGGGCCACGCCTACTACAGGTACAAGCTCTGGGTCTCGCCGCGGCCGCCGGTGGCGCCGTACCCTCCCGGGTCGATGCACATGATGCCGCCGCCGCTGGGTCCGATGATGCGTGGGCCGCCGATGCACCAGCCGGGTTACCCACCGTTCTACGACCAGCACCAGCATTTCGGTGCTCACGGCCATGGGGAGTATGATGCCGCGCCGCAGCAATCCTTCAAGGGCCTCTCCGGGCCGCTTCCGGTGGATGTCGCAGCTGAGCTGCACGACGTGCTTACCAATCTCAATGGCACCAAGGAGTCGATCAAGGGTGCCAAGACATGGTTCATGCAAAGGTCGCCGTTCGCGCCGGCTTTGGCTGAAGCTCTGAAGGATAGAGTGTTTGCTTTAGAGGATTCGGAGAGGCAGCTCCACATTATCTTCCTGGTTAACGATATTCTTTTCGAAAGGTATAGCTTCGATCGGCATCTGCTTTTGGTATAGAATTGCTATCCTCTGCTGATGTGAAATGAAGGCACGCTGTCTGATCTGATTGACTGAATAAATCACATGATACGATGAAGAAAGCAAGAAAACATTCCTGCTGCAAAGATATCTATTTGCCTAATATTTAGCAACTCCTTTCATGGTACTAGTTAGGACTTAGGACTACTTGTTTAATCCTTTGTCCAACATGGAGATGAATGTCTTTAGGTGTTTGTTGGTCCTTCAAAAACTTTGCGATGAACTGAGGTTTATTCCTAGTAGATCTGTTATGTCATATGTTCTTTTCCTGAAAGTCAATTCTGTTTTAGCTTGTGCTTATATCCATTTGTCAGGAGGGTCCATAATCAGATCTTAGCTTCTACATAATGTAAATTAACATTAGAATAATTTGATTCATCAAGATGTTAGCAATAGCAAAATCAGCTCATTGCAGACAACAATGTTGAAGCTAGCATCTGAGGATAAAATTCAAATGCAATGCATGTTTTATCAATAATAGCATGAATGCTTGATGATGATATTTCTGCTATATGTTGTCAATGTTTGATGATAGGTCATATGGATCAGTAGATCGCTTTGGTTTGTATCACTCATTGTACTGTTTTATTGATACCTTTTGTGCATTTGATCTGGAGAAGCTGATTGTGGCATGAAATCTTTATTAATTAAATTAATATGTCACGACTACATGACCTTTAATCGTTTGTTTTTACATATTCCTGGTCCTTTGCTGACCATGTTCGATCTGCTGCAGCTTACAAAGACGAACTAATTCTCGGGACCTTGACAATGAGGCTTTGGCTTTTAAATTTGTGCTGGGATCAATGCTTGCAAGGATATATAACAATCCACAGAGCAAAGATGATAACCAGATTCGCCTCGAGAAAATCCTGCAGTTCTGGGGTTCAAAGGAAGTTTATGACCAGGAAACCATTGCTAACCTTGAAAGAGACATGAAAGGTGGGGTAGCATATCCTTTGCCACCACGGCATGTCTCACCGGATCCCTCAACATTTTCAGGTGTGTCCTCTCTCTTTTTCCATCTTTCCTATTATTTTATGTCTGTACATGTTGTCTACATTGACCAGCACATTTTTCTCATGTGAGTTCATAAAGTTTTAAGGTGTTAGTTTTGGCATAAGGATTTTGTTTGTAGTTTTGTGCTATTGTCCTTACTTCTTTTGATTGGATAACTTTTTTTTTCTCGAATACTGATCAGATTACTCTCATGATTGTTATGTTTATATGTTAATGCCTAAAAAATAACTTTGTAAGTTGGTATGTTTGAAGTATGTCGGCAGTTCGCTAAATTTCACCATGCAACAGTTATCTCTACTTAAATACCTTTGAAGTTCACTCTTATTAATATGTTCATATAACTAGAAAAATCAACTATTAGCTTCTTGTCTGTTTGTTATTTCCTAATTAAACCATTGTACAGATTGAGTCCTTTTATTTTCTTAATTTAATTATTGTAGAAATAGATTTGTTGTGGCATCATTTCTTTGCAATACTACTAACTTTTATATGTATACAATGGACCTTTTGCTTTTTGGAGGTAAACCTAAATACGCGGTTGGATGTTATTTCAGGATCAGTGCATCAGCCCTCAAAATGGTCCTCAGATCCACAAGAGGAAATGGCAACCCATCCTCTTTCTGTTCCACCCCAACCTGTGCCTTCTGCACAATTTCCATTAAATCAACTTCCAGCTGGTGTTTACCCTCCTGTAGGTCAAACTGCTTTTCCAGGATCTTTGCCAGTGCAAACCCCCACTGTGCTGCCTCAAACTGCTGCTACACCAGCTATCACAAATGATCCAAATCCACCTCCTTATCCACTATTCCCCCCTGGTCTGATTCCAGGAATGGTGCGAAAGATGCAGATCGGGAGTGGAGTGCCATACTCTCCCCTGAGTCCACTTGACATCCCCACAATCATTCCACCATCCACTATTCCGGAGTCCGAGATCCTTGAGCGTGTATCGAAGTTCTTTAAGGAGATTGGAGAGGTAAACCCATCAGAAGGGCCAATGAAGCAAAGCGAGCCCGATGATTACGATAACTATGAGAGGGACATTCCTGCTCGCAAGGGTGGTGCATGTATTCCTCCCCCACCCAACTTGCTTGTAAACCTTGAGACAGGGATGCGTGCAGATGGTTCGGTTGATAGTAAACCGGGGTCAACTGGCCGATTGGGCCTTGGAGCGTCTGCCGATCCAAATGAGATCGGCCAGTATGATGATGTCTACTCTTCATATCGCAAACAGAGGAGCAGTACATACCACTCTTCCATCAGTGCTCGCTCATTAGCACCAAAGTGAACGGCAGAAGCATCATATGAACCCTTTCCTCATCTGTGTAGGACTGTACTTAAATGAACAGAATTGGCTTATCAAATGATTGTACGATGCAACTATGTATTGTCACCAGTAGCAAATGATGTTTCTTCCAGTATCTTCTTGTAAGAGGGGTTTTGATCGAGCTGATTTTGTTGGCGTTTTTAGTTCAGATTTGGAGTTGATATTCTTTCCAAGCTTCCAGTCCTAAAATGTGGCTTCAGTCACTGGGACAGGATTGCTGCTCAGTAAAAATATGTTTTCTCATGTACAAAACTTGTATCCTTGTGAGTTTAGTCATGTGAAATTAACATCATTAGATTTTTCACCAAAAGATATTTTCATACCGTACTTATTAATTTCCACGCGCACATTCAAATACATATCAGTTGTCAAAGCTGAACATCCCAAGTCAATCTGTACTTTTTTTTTGTGGCACCCATGTTCAGACATTGCACGTACAGGTGTATGCTCATGCGAATATCAGGAGCTGTATTATTATCTCTTGGAGATAAGCGAAACTCTTCAGCGTAGTTCAGATTTTCAGAATTCTGATCTATTGCGAACAGATGTATCAGCTCCAGACTTCACCATGCCTGTGTCGTAGCAACGCATATATTCAAATGAGAACCCATTTGAATTTATTGTTCAGGACTGCAGAGTCCCATATCTTCAGTACAGTTATGATAATTACAGGCTGAATTATTACCTCTGGACAACGACATACTTCTCCTTTTTTAGGTGAACTCTGCGGTTTATCTGAAAAAAAGGATCACCTTGTTCTCAGAAATTCATAATTACTACTCGAGTTATATTATCTGTTTGAGGCAACAAGCAAGCAAAACCAGAGATAGAGCTTCATACTGGTTGGACTCGCTAAAATTGTTCAGCCTAATCCTGAATTCAAATTATTATTACGAACAGAAGTATTAAAACAGAGATAAGACTTCATACTGGTTGAAGCTTCAGACTTCATGTGCCGTAACGATGGCTCTCTTTCCACGTATGTAATTTGAGATCGTCAGGATTGCAGACTGTATTTACAATCGCCAAATGAAAACAGAGATAAGAAAACATCAATCCAATTATCCAAAGTTGGATATATGCTACCTGCCTAATTAGTAGAAGAGTAATAAGTTCGTTTGACATATGCTTACCTGCTTAATCACGTACGAAAATCGGTCCAAAGTTCAATCTGGTTACATGAAAATTCAAACTAAAATCTGCTTTACGTACGAGAAATTCATCCTGAGTCCAATCTTATTACACGAACATTTCAAACTCCAAATCTCTACATTCTAACGCTATGGTTGTCTGGTCTGGTCCTTGGTCGTGTCCCGTTTCATTGTGTACTATTTACCTGTAATGTGTATCCTTAAGTCTGGTTTGATGGTGTCTGAAACGTTTTGCTGTGGTAGAGCAGCATGGAAGAACTATAATGAATAAGTGATCCCTAATCATTGTGTCCAAATTTTGCTTCTGCTATACCCTTTTGTGCTGTTTCTTATGTTTTGCTTAAAAATTTGATCTGACAAACAAATTTGTCTAAATTATGCTCTTGTTCTGACTGTGTACTGTACACATTTGTATTGCTACCGGTTTGGCACATAGTTTTCTCTTTGATTGCAGATCAAACCCTTCTGATTGCAGATTGCTTGGCTATGGCTGATGTGCTCACTGTTCTTCTTTAGCTTGTATATTGCTGATGGTGGCTTGGCTACGGCTGAAAAAGTTGCTGCTGCGCCGACTTGGCAACTGTTGCTCCAGTAATGCTTTGTCCTCTCTTCCTAGCCGCCGACTTGGCACTTGGCAGCTGTTGCTCCTGTAATGCGTTGTTATCTCTTATCTCTTGAGATGTACTATGATTTTGAGGCTGTTTGACTTGTGCCAGATTGCCAGTGCTGATGCTATATTATCTCAGGTTTTTATGCTAGTATATGTTTTACTGTGTGCTGCCTGTGTCGAGTTACGTAATCTATTGAACCGCTATGCGTGTTGATGCCCTGTTGTTGCTTGCCAGATTGATGCCCCTGTTGCTTGCAGCTTGCAAGCTGTAGTGAAATCCTAAAATTCGAAGCCAAATCTATTCTGAACTTTTGAAGATCTGTGATGTCCGGAAGAAAAGATTCAAACAGATAAACGGGACTCTCCAGAATCTATAAAATAAATGATCGACAAACGCTTTGCTTTGGTAGGCTTCTCATTAACCCAAACATTCTGGAAGACCAATGCTGGAGGAAAACATAGAAAAAAAACTCTCTGTTCCCATAAAAGAAATAGTACTCCGGTTTATCTAAAAATATGAAGAATTCTGTGTTTTCAATATCAATCTAAATTCAGAATAGCTAGAAGCTGTGTGATCTGGAAGACAAGCGAACCCAGAGATAGAACTTCACACTGATTGGACTCATCAAAATTCTTGTGTTTGGTTTAAATCTCTGGTTTATTACAAACAGAAGTATCAGCTCCAGACTTCATCACGCAATTGCCGTAACTATGCATATATGATATATCCAAATGACGAGACGGCATTTATTTGTTCAGGACTGCAGAGTCCCGTATCTTCAGTATAGTTCTGATAATTACAAATTGAAGTTTTAACTCTGGACAACGACATACTTTTCTTTTTTGAGGTAAAACAAAGGAATACTCTGCGGTTTATCTGAAAAAAAAGAGTTATATGTCCTCAATATCACCAGAAATTAAGAATTATTACTACTACGAGCTTATATTATCTCTTCGAGGCAATCAAAACAAAAGAGACAGCTTCACACTGGTTGGACTCGCAAAAATTGTTCAGCCAGCGTAATCCAGAATTCAGATAAGTATCAGGACGAAGTATTAGCTTCAGACTCCATGTGCCGTAACAATGGCGTTCTCCTCTCCTCCTGTGTGTATGAAAACAACTGCAAACTTACAAATTCTGTCAACTTATATCTGAAAATTTGAAAAATTTCACCCATGTAGTTTGAGATCGTCAGGATTGCAGGCTGTATCATGATGTTCTCTATTGCATCCTTAACGTTAAACGAAAGCACAGATGAGAAAACATCATACACTTTGCACCCGTAATAAGTTCATTAGATATCTCTTAATCACGTACGAAAATCAGTCGAGAGTTCAATCTCGTTACATGAACGTTCAAACTAAAATCTGCTTTTACGTACAAGAAATTAATCCAGAGTCCAATCTTATTACACGAACATTCAAACTCCAAATCTCTACATTCTAACGCTATAAATTGCGAGCGATCCCACGTTGCTCTGCACAACAATCAGCCAAAGCCGCAACACCAATCTCACCACCCACCACCGATCTCTCGCCGACGAGACAGAATGGCGCCGTCGTCCAAGCTCGCCGCCCTCTTCTTCGCCTTCGCCGTCGTGGCGGCGGCGGCGCTGGCACCGGCCGCAGAAGCGAGGGTCCAAGGGTTCAACCATGAAGCGGCGTCCGAGCCTGCCATTGCCGCAGCCGGGGAGTCCAAAGCTGCCACCGGAGGAGGAGCGCCGACATTGCCGGGATTACCCGGCTTGCCGTTCCCGCTCTTCCCGTTCCTCACGCTCCCGTTCCCGCTGATCCCCATCGGCGGCTCTTCTGGCGGCGGCGGCGCCGCTCCGCCTTCGGCTGGCTCTGGCTTCCGGTTCCCGTTCCCGCTCCCGCTGCCGTTCCCTGCGCCCGCCTCGCCGGGCGGCGCTCCGCCGTCGTCTGGGTCCGGCTTCCCGGCGTTCCCGTTCCCGTTCCCCAGCTCGCCGGTCTCGCCACCGTCTCAAGCATCACCCGCCTCGCCGGCGGCACCGGCGCCGCCATCGCCGCCGCAGCCAAAGGAGTGCTTGACGCCGCTGTTGTCGATGATGTCGTGCGCGGACTACCTGACGAACAGCAGCGCGCAGACGCCGCCGGGCACCTGCTGCGAGGGGTTCAAGTCGCTGGTGAGCACGGCGCCCATCTGCCTGTGCCACGGCATCAATGGCGACCTGAGCAAGTTCCTCCCGCTCCCCGTCGACATGATGAAGATGATGACGCTCCCCAACACCTGCGGCGCCACGGTCCCACTTCAGACGTTCTCCATGTGCAACAGTAAGTTCTTGCTAATCAAATTACACCCTAATTAAACCCTATCGTAAAGCATGTTTATTATTTCTAATGCATTGTTTGTTTGAAGATAACATAATCCATCGTAAAAACATGTTTTGTTTTTATGCATTGTTTCTTTGATTGAAGAGATTAGTATAAACCATCATGAAACATGTTTATTTTTTCATGCATTGCTTGTTTGATGAAGAGATTAATTAATCTAATCTGGTGTTTTGTTTGATTTGACAGCGCCCTCGGTGCCTCCATTGATGCCTCAGAGCCCATCTGCTGCTGCTCCAGCGCCTGGTAGTCCCCCATCGTCGTAAATATTCAGGTAAATTCGTATTTGAAACCCTCTGAAATTTAATCTGTTAAAATTTATGATTCTTTTTCTCATCTAACATCTTCTGATTTTGTCTATTTGTTTCTGGCAGGTGTGTCACCGTAGCCTGTCGTCTGCTTCAGCCGTAGTCTTCTTTAGTCTCAGGAGTTTTAAGATATACACAAGGTTTAGGGTATTAGGATGTGATTAAGTCATACTAGTAGATATTTAGCGCTATTAAGTAGCGTACATGTATTTTTTTTGTCCGTGAAATAAATAAAGTTTACTGTTTATTTGAAGTTGTCCCTCCATGATGCAATACGGATTTGTCATTTGCGTGTCAAACTCTCATCGTACGCTAATTAACTGATGATCCATCTCGCGAGTATGATTATTCTTCGAAAAAAAAAATCATTGGGCTGTATTTGGCGACTAGCCAGGTGGGCTCCCAGCCTCCCATCGGTCCATTTTCATACTGGGCCCTGCACATGATTTTAATTGGAACATGTACAAATCCACATTTTTAGTTCAATGAATAATACCGGTATGACATTTGCAATTTAAAAGAAATTCCTTCGCTTCTGTCTTAGTGGAACCAATACAGTACAGTATTCATAATATTACTTCGTGCTTATATATTTGGATCGGAGGAGTATTGAACATATTTTTTAGGATAAAAGTGGCAAACCGTAAAGTTTCGTGTAGAAACCTTCTATATTAAAGTTAGTTGTTATAAATATAAGATTAATCTATTTTTCAAATTTGTGATAATGCGTGGAACTCTTAATAACACCACCTATATCGTTAAGCAGGCCCACGAACTAAGCATCCTTCTTAGGCTACGAAGTACGAAATTTAACCAGCAGAGCAAATTGTTGTTTATAGTCCAAATTCCGTCTAAGACGCCAGAGAAGAATTGACGAATTCAATTTGGGCAAAGATGCTGGTAAAACTTAACAATGTTTTAGAGCAAGATACCAGTACATAGTACAAATCAACATACAGATTTGCCACAATTTACTTTAGTACAATTTTACTTATTGACAAACACATTCCATTCTCCGTGGTCCATTTGCTCTGATTGCAGAATGCTCCAATATGAAATCCCTGCCGATTCTTCACTTCTGACCATGCACAGTTGGGACGGCAAAATATACTCAGAAACAATATCAAAGCAAGCAAGCAATAAAACATACTCAGAAAAAAAACTTTTGAACTCTTATTTTTCTATAGTATCGGATTGGAAAGGCCTCAGACCGTCCTAGTTCATGAGCAATATCAACATAGCTCTGGCAACAACGATGTGTGCCAGTTCTGAAACCATCATGTCATCAAAGGCATCAGATCCAATCCAACAATTCGCATTCAACTCACAAAAGATTAATCTGCACGAACAGCCATAGAATTTAAAAGGAGATATAGGTTCATCAAAACTGTGTCAGATTAAAGTATTCTCAGCACCCTTATGAAGGAATCAGACAGGGATAACTGTATTTTCACTTGTGATTTCATCATCCACATCTGAAAAAAAAGCACAAAGAATTTAACAAAAATCACAAAGCAAATAACCTTAAACAAAATCATATCAATTGAGGAATCTATCAGATCTTCCTATTCAATATGAAAGAAATGTCATGGAACGCCACAATCCGCAGATTGGACGCTTTCCTTTCAGAGTTTCGCATCATTTAGATCCCCAAAAGACAAAATTCACATAAACGAAAAAAATACTATGTAAATATATGTGGCGTTTCCAGGATTAGACTGGCACCAAGAACGCCAACAATCAGGATATGACCACACATCAGAAGAATATCATCTGGCGTCCGAGCCATTATACCGTGAAGAACTGAATAATCCTCCGGAATTGGTAATGGACGCATCTAATCAAGAGATCTAAAACCTAATCGAAGGATAAACAACAGCCTAATAATCTAAAAGCAACAGTATGTTTTGTGAGATCTGGAAGCTCAGACAGCCAAGGGTTTGGTCTTCAACTACCACAAAGTAGCAGTATCAGAAACTCTAGTCCAAATAAAAATTGCTCATCACCGCTACCAAGATCTCAAATCAGCTGCCGCAAACAGAAATATAAAACAATCTAAATCTAATTCAGAATGGTCGTAGCGATGGATAGAATGAGGAGCTCAGACAGCCAAGGGTTTGGTCTTCAAATACTACAAAAGTAGTATCAGAAACTCTAGTCCACAAAAAATTGCTCATCACCGCTCCAACATCTATTTGTCTACCAGCGAAACGAAAATACAATAGAAATCAAACCAAATTCGAGAGCAATCAGACGAAAACGAGATCAAAACGGGAAGAGATTACGGAGGAAACAGGCGACGGGCGGAGAGGAGATGGGCGCTATGCGTCGACGGCTTGGCGGCTCTCGCAGGGATTTATAGAGGAGGTAAGCGTTTCTAGGGTTTCTTCTCCCGTGCGGCTAGTAGATGGGCCCGTTTAGGCCCACATAAAATAAGATGGAATTTGCAGCCCGGCCCACTAGCTTCCGTGCCGGATCGTGGCCTTTCTGCGTGCAAGGTTTAATTTGACAGGTTGCACCTAAAGTTCATTTTATATTCCTCACATATTCGTACCACAGTACCAAGATATAACGCATACTCCTCAACATGAAGTACTCGCTAATTTCATCTGATCCAAGCTCATGTGACGTGCCATTATCCAAAACGTCAAGAATACATTCAATATAAAGTATAGGAAGTACTCACCTCATGTGAAGTACTCCCATGCTCGCTTCCTCAACATGCATCAACATGAGGTATATACAGTACCGGAGGGAGTATGGGAGGAAGGAGTACTTCAAGAACACATTAAGGCTGTGTTTAGATCAGCACAAAGTTTAAATTTTGGTTGAAATTGGAGATGATGTGACTGAAAAGTTGTGTGTGTATGACATGTTGCTCTGATGGAAAATGACTAAAGTTTGGATTCAGACTTTGGATCTAAACACAACCTAAATGCATACTTCCTCCGGTACCATAGCTTTTTGACGTTTTGGATAATGACACGGTCTCCAAAATATAACTTTGACTTTATTTTTCTATTATAATATATATAATAAACAAATGCATGTTTACTTTTCTTATTGTACTTTGAAAGATAAATCTATATGTGTTGTTTTAATTACTTTAAATTAAATATTTTTATAGTTATTGATAATCAAAGTTACGAAGTTTGACATTAACTTTGTCCACAACATTAAGAATAATGGAACCGAAGGAAGTGAGAGATAGAGAGAAGAGAAGAAAATTATACTAGTAGTTAATAACCATGTAACTCTTCTACTGGTACATGTTAACATAAGCTCACAGTTGAGACCTTATTAGTTGGGGAATTTTTTTGGGTTTGGTTATCACATCGGATATACGGACACACATTTGAAGTATTAAACATAGTCTAATAACAAAACAAATTATAGATTCCGCCAGAAAACAACGAGACAAATTTATTAAGGCTAATTAATTCATCATTAGCAAATGTTTACTGTAGCATCACATTGTCAGATCATGGCGCAATTAGACTTAAAAGATTCGTCTCACAATTTACACGCAATCGGTGTAATTGGTTTTTTTCCTACATTTAATATTCAATACATGTGTCCAAATTAACATTTTATCTGATAGCGTGAAAATTTTTATTTTGGGAACTAAACATGGCCTGACTCTACTATTAAACTTGATCTAAAGGCCTGTTAGAGCCGCCAAAAGGGATAGGAAGGGAGTAACAACTGCCGGAAGTTTATAATTTTCCATATCATAGTCTACGTATATACACACAGAAAACAACAATTAATTTTTTTAGCTTTGTATATATAGTTACTCCAGCAATATTAGACGATTAATAAGGAAGTAAGGCCAGTTTGCGTGCTATTTTTTCCGTATAAAAATGCTATATATGTGGAAAAAAATTGATAATATACCTTCCTTTGGAATGATTTGCATTTATATATATGCATAAGAAGAATTAGCACAAATATACCCGTACAGCACGATGGGAATGCGGGAGTGCTACGTAACCGCCAGCCGGGTTGTTCACGCATGTTGAACGAGCGGCACCACTGCGGTCCCTGCGGCACCGCGTCGGTGCCGTGGTCTGGGAGAGCGGGAACGTGGTGGCGAGGCGGTGCCGCGGCTGTGTCCTGCGGGACCGTCGCGTCCCCGCAGATTGGTGATGCGGGATGGCGCATGCTCCTCCAATACATGCATGCTTACGTGCATATGCTTTGCACGAGCCAGCCAATGGAATGCCGGCTCACAGGATGCTACACTACGCACGTAATCTAACTTACTGCTAATGCATGCATGCCACTAATCCCGCGCAACCAATCCGCGGAACTGCGTCGGTTCCGCACAACTGTATCGCGGCACCGCTAGACTGACACGGTCCCGCGTCTTCAAGCTGCGCCGCCGGTGCGGTGGCGCGTTCCCGTTCAGCGGGAAAAGTATATTTTCACAACAACGTTAGAAACATGTATATATGTGTAAAACTACGAAAAATAATGCATATTTCAAAATATAATTCATATATGTGAGCTTCGATCAGCATCAAAGGAAACATATATTCTTTCTTAAAACATACCTTCCATATAGAAAAACATATATATATATATATATATATATATATATATATATATATATATATATATTATATGCAGATCTAAAGACTCGAATCATACGACGACCAACTATTAATTGTTCATTGTCGAGATGGCCACAATCCTTTTCGTCGGCGTTCTCCTGATGAGCTGCTGCTTCGTGCTTATTTCCTCTGCATCTGGCAATGGAACGATCAGGCCGATCTTTTCGATGAACCAAGCGGTATGTTACACTACACATTGCTGATTGAATTGCTTTTAATTTGGTATGGTTGCATGAAGTATCGGTCGATCTATTCTCAAATTAATTTCAATCTACAAAATCATATATATGTACTCTTGGGATTGGTTCATCAGAGAAAATGTGGTGCAATTGGAGGAACAGCGCGCTGCAAAGAGATCGTTGACGGATACATTATTGAAGACGGCAGTATCTTTCAGGTGAGTTCTTTTATTGTAACGAACCCGCGTAAGTTTGCATGCAGTTGTAGTTTAGATACAATCACATTGATCAGAACGTTATAACATGATCCCACGTACGTATAATCTATCTCTATTTATTTTTTTATGTTAATGTGGTTTTTTTTTTGCTTTGGTCTTCTCTTTAATTAATAATGTAATACAGTATATAATAATGAATAGATTGACATAAGAACTCCGTACTAATGTTGTTTGGCATACTGTAATATTTTTGGGAATTTTTTTTTGTGCCTCTAAATCTTTGCCCTATGCTCATATCTTTTTCATACCCCTGAGTTTGTCATCTCTCTTATGTGTTTTGATCTACTTTATGTCTATTCTATTAGCTGGCCGTTAGATTTTTTCCAATGACCATACTACCTCTTCCTCGTACATAAAAAGCTAATTTGAAAAGCATAAGTGCAAGAACAATTTTAGATTAAAAACAAATCAAGGAGATAAATATATTACCCCAACTTTAAATTTTAAAATGAATTTTAATTAAATTTGATGAAAATTTTAATGGTATTTGACCTTCTCTCTCCATGGACACATGTCTTCCAATTTGGTTGAAGTTCTTTAAAAAAATATCCTTTTGGTTTCCAGGTAGAGGAGAAATAGGAAAACCAAATGATTTTTTTATGCAATTTTCCTAATTTAAATTTTATTAAATTTGATTGTAATTCTTTTAGAAAAGTTTAAAGTTTGATTTGTCAAACAATTCTATCCATTCAATTAATTGTAATCGAATCTTTTGCCTTCGTAGTTATATTTTTATAAGAGTAAAGTACATCACCGGTCTCTAAACTTGTATCGTTGTGTCATCCCGGTCCCTAAACTCGCAAATCGACCGTTCAGGTCCTCAAACTTGTTCGACTATGTCATCCCGGTCCCTAAACTTGTAGATCACTCGTATAGGTCCTCCAATTTGTTCAGTTGTGTCACCCCAGTCCCTAAACTTGGATTTGAATATCATCTGGGTCAAATAGGACGGTCTAAAGACTTTATATTTAAAAATAATTCATAACTTTTTCATGTGAACTCTAATGAAGATAAACTTTATATCAAACTTGTAGCCCTCGACGCGATCTATAACTTTGTAGTTGATGTTTTTTTTATTTTAAGTCATTTTTTGTCCCAAAATGTAATTTTAAAATTAAAATTACAAAATCTATAAACATGCAACAATATTTTGGGACCCTAAACAGTTTTAATTCAAAAAATTTTCAACTACAAAGTTGTAGGTCGCGTCGAGGGCTACAATTTTGATATAAAGTTTGTCTTTATTAGAGTTCACATGAAAAAGTTATGAATTATTTTTTGGTATAAAGTTTTTAGACCGTCCTGTTTAGGGACCGGGGTGACACAACTGAACAAGTTGGAGGACCTAAACGAGTGATCTGCAAGTTTAGGGACCGGGATGATACAGTCGAACAAGTTTAAGGA